CCACCTTAAGGCGGGAACGAATCGAAGCGACGCAGTAGATCCGTTGACAAGGCTACGTTCCTTGCATCTTGCCGCGCATTAGATTCGCCGAAGCTTGACCGGACAAAGAGCAGAACGGAACGGAAGCCACTTTATTCGCCTCTTTTACCATCCTCTTGCGCGCCTCCAAGCGGTTGCAGGTTTAAAAGTTTTAGGGCCACATCTAGTCACGGGTCAACAGAAGGGGACATGGTTTTGGATACGAACGGGGAAGCGAAACGAAACAAAGCCCAGCGGAATGAAGTGAAAAGGAATGGTCTCATCTCGCCCGCGGCTTTGATCGCCCGCATGCGCACCTCTGGATCCCACTTGTCCCAACTAAAGTTCACCGGGCCCAGCACCGGTGACATAGCTTTCGGAACGGATCAAACAGACCGGAATCGAGCGGAACGGAACGCTCTCACCTCGCCCGCGGCTTCGATCGCCCGGATCCGAGCGTCCAGCTCGTTCCCGTTCCAGCTGACGGTCACCGGGCTTAGCACCGGTCACATACTAGTGAAAGCGGAACGGAACAAAGCGGACCGGAATCGAGTGGAACGGAACGCTCTCACCTCCCCCGCGGCTTCAATCGCCCGGATGCGCGCGTCCAGCTCGTCCCCGTCCCAGCTGACGTTCACCGGGCTCAGCACCGGCTTCTTCCTTCTCGCTGACGCCATTCCCCGGGGTCTCGCAACCGGGCTGCTGCTCGCGCCAAAAGCACCCGGTTTCTCCTCCTTCCGGGCACTCGCATTCATGACCGACTGCATGAGGCCCGCCAGTCCGGGGGCCGACTCGCTCAGGGGGTTCCTCAAGCGGCCGGGAGTGCGGGTCAGGACGGAGACCGGGGAAGCGACCCGGGTTTGGGTAAGACGGGGAGAGCCGCCGCGGCCAGGGGCTGCGCGAAGGACGAAACAAAGAATTTGTGGGTATGCAAATTATGATGCTGACAGAAAGTTCCTTCGCAGAAAAAGCTCAAAGAAGAAGCCATTAATTAGGGAGACGGAAAGCAAAAAGTATGACTGAAATGTTGTGAAGAGAATGTTAAAAACAAGTAATAACATAGGCAGCTGTGCAGAGTTCCGCCTCGCTGCAGCACTGCATCCATCAGACGGCACTGACTTCGTGAAGATACGCAGCGAGAACCATGCCAACGATAGCAAAACTTATTACAGCATCCCGTCAGGAGATGCACTTTTCAAGCCACGACACACTTCCTTCCGGACGCCCTTGCCTGGCACTTTTCCCTCCTGCACCGACCACGAAATCATTACAATATTACTATGTTTTCAAAGAAAACATGATTGGCCGTCTGTGCGACGGCAAGGGCTTGCCTCTTCCTCAATTTCAACCGCTATCAACGGTTGTGACTAGCAATTGGCATCGAATGGCGAATGTTTTTCCTACGGTGCGGATGTCCTAGTCGTGAAAGCAGCCAACCGAGCAAGTGCGAAATTTCGACGTCGTATCGCGCACATGCACGAAGGCCAACTTTGAGACTTGCACCATGCACCGCTCGGACCAAATTGTTCGATTCGTAAGGTGTAACTGCGCCGCACGCGGGACCCCAGTCCAAAAAATGTCGCACCGTTATGCGGACAAAAAATCGGCTTGTACCGTACGTTTTATCGTCGAGCCAAGCCAACCCAAGCACCTCAAGCAGGTCATTTTGCGGGCCCCGCGCCGCGGCGTCGTACAGCGGCCGAAATCGCAATTCCTATGGTTTCTCTCTTCCTAAGAGGAAGAGGCAAGCCAGTATAGAGAGACTGACATAAATTTGGTCCGAAATGAGACGTGTCTTTTTACCGCAGATTGTTTCCGATCAAGAGTAGCAACCCCCGCTCACCCAGGTAGCTCCACAGGTCCTCCGCCGAGTGCCGCGTCGGCGTCCTCCTCCCCGAGGGGCCGCGCGGCAGGCTCGCCGGTGAGGTACGCTTCCTCCCCCCGAACCGCGCCACACACGCGTCCCACTGCGCGTCCATTTCGCCTTTTCCGGCCTCATCTTCAAATTGGCTCTCCAACGTTTGCCGCGGTTCCGCGACCGGAGTCTGGGGGCTTACGAACGGCGGAATTGCTAGGGAGAGGACCGGATCCGGGGTTTTGGGGGAGGGTTTGCGGCCGGAGCCGCGGCCGCCGCGCGCTGGCGAGGCCCTCGGTGTGAACCCGCCCGCTGACAGGGCCTCCGTGAGAAGGGCGTCAGCGTTCTGCGCAACCGGGGCCCGGTCAACTCCGAACGCACTCACTGCTGAACTGACGTCATCACCGCCGCCGCAAACGTCATCGTTGCGGATGCTGACGTCAGCACCAACGGAAGAGTCCGTCGACACCGACGCTGCGTCTTCGTCAAATGTGCCCTGGGTCTTGCCACCTGTTTCCTTTCCCTCGGTTTCTTCTTCCGGGCTCTGCTCCGTCTCTTCGGTGAGACACGCTCTCCCTGTGCCGGCTGCCGGTTCAGTTCCCCTTTCCGTTCGCGGTTTGTTTCCGCCAGCCTTACTGAGCGGGGTGCCGAACCAGGCCTCCTCCCACGCCGCACTCACCGGACTTTTTACCCCAGGAGACGGAACCGGACTGAATGCTTTCTCCTCTCGTGCTTTCAGAACCGTAACCATGTCTCTCGAGTCTTTAGCTGACAGTCCGCACTTTGAATCGTCGGTATCGAGAAGCGAAGTTTCGATCACCGACGAAGAGACCGCCTCATTTTGCAGCCCACCGTCAGCCCCTTCCGCTTCCGCTTTCCCCCGTCCCGCTCGGTCAGGCTCGCTCATTACCCGTTCTCCGTCATGCGAGTCGTCTGTGTCCTGCGGCGAACCGGCCCCCGGTTGGCTTCCCGCTTCGTTTCCTTTCTCCCCCGCTTCTAGTTGCTCCATCTCTTCCGGCCCACCGCTCGGTTGCTCTTCCTTCTGGCCGGTTCGGACTCCCGTCTGCTCGTCCTCTCTCTCCTGCTCGAGTCCCGGTTGCTTCTCCCCGTCCTTTTCTTCCTCATTCTCTCCACTCACCGTTCTTTTCACGCCCTGTTCTTCCTCTTTCTTTCCACTTTCAACTATATCTTCCGTCCCCTTTTCCGCCCCACCCTCCGCTTGCTCCAGCTCGTCCCCTGGTTGCTTCGTCTGCTCCCCGGGGATATCTACCGGGCACTCAAGCCGCCCGGCCACAATACTCTTCGGGACGGGGCTGGGCTGCAGTTTCACGGGGCTGTCTAGCAGTGCCTCGACGGCAGCCTGGCGCGCGCGCATCCTGGCGAAGAGGCCCGGATTTCCGCCGCTGACCGCCGCCGGAACGGGCGCTTTCTCAGGCGGGGGGATCCTTTCCCGTTCAGTGCCCGCTGTCCCGCCGCTGGTCGCCTCTCCAAGCGGAGGGATCCCTTCCGGTTCGCTGGGCTTTTCCGGTCTGGCCGTCGGCTTCTCCGGTTCAGCAACGGCCGGAACCTCGTGACTTGACGCATCTGGCGCCCCCTGGTTGATAGAAATTGGGCTCTCTTGACTGGGGACAGCTGGCAACTGCTCAGTGGGCACATCCGGCATGCCCTGATCCGGAACGACGGACGCCTCCTGAACGGAACGACGCTCACTGATGGAAGCCACCCCCTGAGAAGGCGTTTCCGGGGTTGGCGACTCCGGGGCTTCGACCGATATCGCCCGGAGCTCCGGAACCGGAACCGCCTGCACCTCCTTGGCGGAAGTCGACCCCCCCTCTGTGGACACGCTCAGCTCCCTCTGATTAGAAACGCCCGAATCCTGCTGATTGACAGCGGCCAGCTTCGTCGGACGAGAACCGTTTTCCCCAGAAGTAGCCCCCGCGTTTTGGTCAAAAGCTGCCCCAACGGCCGGCTCGGTTTTCGTTACTGCCTCCTCGGCTAACCCGTGACCAGAACCCGCCGGTTCTCGATCACAGAAAACGGAAACGGTCACAGCCTGATCCGCTAGCCCCTGACCAGAATCCGCCGCCGGCTCCCCGTCACAAGAACCGGCTTCCGCAACTAGAGCAGGAACAGTCGTTGTGCTCGGGATCACACCGGGCTGTTCCACCTGCTCGGGATTTTCTACCGGGCTCTTTACCATCGGAGGTACCGACGGCTGGTCGGTTTTCCCGGAGTAGGTCTGCGGCTCAGTTCCTGGCTCGGGAAGCGACTCGGTTTGTTCCGCCGGGCACTCTTCCGTTGGCTCCGGCTCAGTCACCGAGCACTCTGCCAACGGAGTGACCGACGGCTGCTCGCTTTCCTTGGAGTAGCTCTGCGACTCGATTACTGCCTCGGCAAGGGAGTCGGTTCCATCCCCCGGGCTCTCTTCTATTGGCTGCTGGTCCGGCTTGATCACGGACGGCTCACTGGCCCCCAGGGAGTAGCTTCGGAACCGGTCGGAAATCACTCCGGTTTCTTCCCCCAGTGACTGCTCACTTCCCGACAGCTCTTTCTGAACTTCGTCCTTTTTCCTCTCAAGCCTGGAACCCTCCTTATCGAATCCGCTTTCTTCAAGGCCGTCTTCCGTTCCGTTTTCCATTCCGCCCGCTTGACACACCGGAAGTCCGCTCTCTGGACCGACCGGCGCTTCCTCCCCCACAATTCGGTTTTCCGAACCGTCAGACATCCCCCCCATAGCACCGGCTGGACTTTCGTCAATCGAAGTGACCGGAGTTCCGTCCTCCACAGTGGCCGGAACCCCGCCAGCCAAGGTGACCGGAATTCTATCCTCCACACCGGCCGGAGCGGACCCCTCGTCTTCCACTTCCCTGTGCACCCGAGCGGCCTTGCCCAGCTTGCTTGCGAACAGGGCCCTAGCCACCGGCGACCTGGGCCGCCGATTCTCACCCTCGCGGTCGCCCTCCTGCGCCTCTGGTGTGAACAGGCCCCTAGCTGGGGAGTAGATCGTGGGCAGGTTGGGCTTTTTGCTGAACCGCCGAGTGTGAGAACACGAGTCGGGGGGCAATTGGAGGGACGGGAATGAGACGCTGCCAGCCGGTTCCTCGTCGGAAGCTTCCGAGAAACTGTTGGGAGCTTCTGAGGGAGTGTTCGCTTTGCGTTCGCTTGCTGTCGGGGGAGATCGGGGGGTCCGGTTCACCGAGCACGGGACCGGAGCTTTCGGGATCGTTTCCTTAGCAACGAGATCTCTCCCGGCGGGGCTGTCGCGTGCGGGGGCGGGTTCTGCAAACGAGGACTCCGACGAAGGACACGTGTCTTCGGGTTCTGTGGGTGGTGCATCCCGCTTGTCGTCACCTGGTACAAAGAAAGACGAGTTGTCAGAAAGTGGGAACCGTTTTTGCTGAGCTCTGCGGCTATCCTGGAAGTCTTACTGGTCCTTTCGGCAGCCAAGTACACACAGTTCCTCTGACAAAAACACTCGTCTTCAAGAATACGAATTGTAAATTAGGGTGCCGAGCTCGCGTACGCGATTACCTTTGAGTCAGATGGAAAACAGGATTGCGTGGTGAGTTATCAACGTAAGCAGCTGCTCAGACACAACGCATTTCCAAGCGTCATCAAAGCAAGCTCACTTCGCGATCTGAGAAGAGAGAGACGAAGGAAGAGACGGAAGCGAATGGTTCAAGACCCTAACGCAGACTTGAAGACTAAGTTAGAGAGGGCGTTGCGGATTCGGCGCATTCTCTCTGCAAAAAGATAAACGAGTGCGTGATCGCGTTTCCACACCTTCAAGATCTTCGCATTAGCAAGGACGAAAAGCACTCTCATGGCATTGACCCTGTTGAAGAGCTTACTTGATCTGTTGTCAAGACCAAGACTACTTACTTGATGAGAGGCTGCCTTTCGCCGCCTTCTCCCTGTCTGTAGAGATACCAGCCGGGCACTTTAGAGTTGTGTCCATTTTGGGGAAGCCTTCCGAGGGGCTCGGAGACGGTTCTGGGGTCTTTGAGTTCCTCGGGGACAGCGGCAGGGGCACCACGCAAGCCGCCCGGATCAACGCGGCAGCCCCGCTGGAAGGCGGGCGCAAAAGCGAGCGGCTCGGCGGCATGGGAAGCTTCGAAACGCCGGCCGAAGTAGACTGCGTGGCACCAGGTGGCGCCTCCGGAGCTTCCGAGGTGCCACGTGGCCGCAGGGGCCCGGATTTGGAGGGTTTCGGCGAGCCCGGGAGCGGAGCCGCGCACGCCGCAGCGACGAGCGCGGAGTCGATGACCGACGGGCGGGGCAGTGCTGACGTCACCTTCAGGGCAGCAACTGAGGTGCCACGTGGCAGCAGAGGCACGGGGTTGGAATGTTTGGGCGAGCCCGGGAGCGGAGCCGCGCATGCAGCGGCGACGAGCGCGGGGTCGATGACCGACGGGCGGGGCAGTGCTGACGTCACGCCCGGGGCCTTCGCGCCGGGGGGCTTGAGGCGCGACGTCCCGAGGGAGGGGATCCTGCTCAGGCCCCCGCTCGCAGCCGCCAGCTTGCTCAAGAAAGCGTTCGCGATCGGGGGATCCCCCTGGGGAGCCGTCTTTGTGACGTCAGCGCCATTTTGGGGCGTTCGTGCTGTTTCCCCCGTGCTGGAAGCAGTGACCGGTTTGTCGGCCGACCGGCGGAGGCGAGACGAGGCCGGGGAGGAAACGCCGGGGAGCCTGCGGGCGCCCAGCCTTTTCGCGGGGGACGGGGACGCCACGTCTAGTTTGCCGGCCGGGGACGAGGGGAGGGGAACGACGCACGCAGCCTGGATGGCGGACGTACTGAACGCGCCGGGCTTGAGCGTCCGGGACTGTCCGGTTGCGGAGGGCTTTCGCAGGAGTGATTGGTAGCGGGGAAGCGCACTTTGGGAACTGTCAGAGCTTTGGGGCTTTAGGGCAGGTTTTGTGGTCGCCGGAACGGGTGATGGTTTTGCGCTTGCGCCGTCGGCAGCTCCAACGGTCGCGCCCCTCCGCAGGGAAGGGACCTTTAGCGCTTCCGTCGCCGAATGTGCACCGGTGCCTGCGCCCCCGGAAGCTCTAGAGTGCCGGGCAGGGGATGCGACCGGCGCGGAACCTATGGCGCTTTTCTGGGCGGGCGATTGCAGCGTGGCGGTTGTGGGTGCTTGGAAAAAATCACGCTTGGCCGTGGGCTTTTTCAAAAAGGACGGGCGCACACCGGGAGCCAAAGCGCTCGGGGCTGTCTCTTCCGTCTGAACGGTTCCGTTTCCGTTTCCGCTGTCTTTCAGCGAACCCCGGGCCCGACTGTGGGCCGACCCTGCCGGCTGCGGAATGCTGCCGCGTGGCAGCGCTCCAGTGGTTGATCGCGTTTGTGGGCGGCGGAGCCCCGATGCCGTGTGTCCCTCAACCGGACCGGCCAGTTCCGCTGCTGCCCGCGTTCCGTCGTTCCGTTCTGTCCCCGGAGTTCTTACCGACTCCCCGCCGTCCGGGTTTATATGCTCTCCCGGTGTCTGCGAGCGCTCATCTCTCGGTGACTTGCGCTCTACCGTCGACGCCTCGAGCTCCGCCTTCAGCGCGTCGCGCTCCTTCTGGGTCGCCGCCAGCTGAGCCTGTAGCGCCTCGAACAAACCCAACTCTTGAGGGCCCATACCCTGCTCGGAACCGGGTTTCCCGGCGCTCGAACCCGGTTTCTCGGTACCTGAGCCCTCGCCTTCCGTCTCCAAAGACTTCTTTACAGCGTCCGTTACTGTCTTCGCTTGTACCGACTCCTTACTAGTTGACCCGCTCATCTTATTCTTCGGCGACTTTTCCGGGCGAGGGCTTTGGTTGCTGGGCTTTGACGCGGGTTCGGGGGTCTTGGGTTTGGACCGCGGGGGCGGGAGGGGGTTTGGGTTGTACCGGCCAGGGAGGCGCAGCCGCGTGCCGTGCTGGATGGCGGTCTCGATGGCGACAGCTGTCGACGTGGGCCGGTGGAGGCCCGCCAGCCTGCGGCGCCGCTCGCCCTGTCAATCAAAACTCGTCTTTTCAGGTGCTGAGGTTACTAAAACCTATTTGATGTCTCGAGAGCTGTTTGAGGGTAACTTTTGTTCGAGGATGCGTCGCTGAATTGTGTACTCATTCTGCTCCCGCTGCAGCTGCTGTAAATGATTCCTTGAAAGTAACCGTCGTGTTAGACATTCCTCGTTTGTGGCCAAGATTCAAAGTAGTTGAGCAAAGTGAACCCGGGCTTCGGTCCAGATAGGCCGACTCAGGAAAAGAACAGTACGAAGCTGACCGACGGGCTGTGTACCAATTTACAACAGGTCCACGGCACAACGAACGGCAAAAGTACCCTAAAATTCCGAGATAGATCCGTGAGACAATTCGCAGGGCAGAGCCCCATGAGGATGCAACCTCAGAAAGTAAAGCAAAACCCTGCGCATGTCAAAACGTCTGGCATCTGAAGCTTTGAATAATTGGCAATCACGTGACACCTGGCAAATTTAGACTGCGCAAGCTTCCAAGAAGAGTAGAAGGGCTGACCTTAGTCGGCGTGTGTTTGACCGGGGTCGAGGTCTTCTCGATGACGTGCCCAACAAGCCCTCCTGCAGGCATTATTTCACTGAGTCGGACCGTGCTTTAGCATCGAACTTCTTAGAAGCTCAGGAGGCGAGATCATTAAGATGCAGTGAACAATGATTCGCCAATACTCATGCATTTTGCCTTTTGGGTTACTCAAATGCTTCGGCGCAAATCTTCTGGCTGGACGTATCCGTCCGCTCCGAGTCTCGGGAATGATAGCGCCGCTGACAGGCCAGCAACGCCTTTTCCTCGGGATACTTGTGCAACTAAAAGACGAGTTACTCTGCCGGAATCTCAGCGTAGGTAAGCATTGGATAGCAGCCTCTCAATCAGCAGCGGCGCTTTCGTCTTGCACTCCTGCCAGCTGTCACCACTAGGCCAAACTGGTGTCAGCTGTCATCAATAGGCCAAAAGCCCGCCAGAAATCTCACCTCCCAAACTGCTCTGCAGTCTGGCGCCCATTCCTCCTCCGCTTTCGGCCTCGTCTTCAGGAGCAGTCCAGGCAAGCGAGGACGTCGAGGCTTCGGTGTTCAGGGACTCGACGGAGGAGTACACGCTCTGCGATACTTGGTCCGAAGAACGGGCCACCCGGGCTTCGCTGGACTGCGCCACGTTTTCTATATCAAGCACACCTGCAAAAGGAGACTGAAGTGCATTACAAGCTTGCGAGGCATGCGAAGGACAAGGTCTCAACGGGGCTTTGCGAACCAAAGAGATGGAAAGGGTATATAGGAAGGCCTGAAGTGATGGCAGCCAATGCAACCAGTTAACAAAGCTCGTTTGTTCTCAAGAAGGGCTCCGAAAATCTTCTGTTCTCAAGAAACACATAGGAAAACCTTGATGTGAGGCAAATGAAGGTTGGGCGCCACGGATCGTGTCAGAGCCAGGATGCAAGATATTCGAATCTGACTCCCTTTCTCTAACACGTAATGACAGTGACAGGTGTCAAGACCAAGTATCGCCCCAACGAAACACCTGTCCCAGATTTCAGCACAGCGATGCTCAGAAGCACCTTTCAAAGAAAATTTAGCGACAAACTCCATCGGTTTGTCAAGGTCCAAACCCGTTTGGATAAATGGCAAAGCCTCTCGACACAAGGCCTTTCCGCATAGCCTTGTGGCACAGCTCTTACCTTCCCCCGATCGGAAGGCCGTGTCCCAAGCCATGCTTGACCGGTTGACTTTCTGGCGGCTGCGGCTCATACTGTTAGTACAGCTGTCGCTCGACTCCTGCAATTCCATGCCCTTTCTCGGGCTCTTTTTCCGGGTAGGCAGCACGGGCGACTCGGCCAAGGGCAGATCGTCGGTCAGGAGCGCTCCTGCAATTGACGGATTGGCTTTTGATTCTTTCGTGATGGGCTAAGTGGTTCTGGAAGAGACGATCGGTGGTTTGTGGGCAATCTAGGAGAAGGGCTTATCAGAACAAGTCTAACGCCTGCTGACAACGCTTGACTGGATCTATCCTGCTCTTCCTCACCTTGGGGGTGGGGATATTTCAGACGGCCCGACACAGTAAAACCACAATCTCAGCAGCTGATAGCTGTCAGTAACGACCACTTTATTGATACACTTCTCGTGCTGATCAAAAGCAAAGTCGTGCCTCCTGCTTCGAAGGCCCAGAAGGACAGACCACCAAGAAGCTATTGAGATCCGTACTGGGGCTGGAACACCAAACGCTCTCTCCCATCACTCCCCACGCATGATCTCCTATGACCCTCATCTTCAGGGACCTGCGCGTTTTTCATGACCTCCCCACCCGCAGCAGGATTGACATTTATCTAGAGTCCAGATGCATCCAGGTTTGTTTTTCATCAGAAAACAGCAGGCATGTGATCAAAACGTACAATATTCACCAGCAAAAACCCTCATGCAAATACTTCCCTTGACCTGCATATGTAATCTTATCAGATTTACGCCCTCCCCCCTTTAACTTTAGAGGCAGGGGACCTGATCGTTTCTAAGCAGGCAAAGGCTTTTCACGATTGAAGGAGGCTCATTCTCAACCTTTGCAGAAAACCTCAAAGCAGAAAACATTGGTCTCTTTCCTAGCCCGAGAGGGTATCCGCATGAAAATCCCACCTTGGTTCTCCTCCTGGAAGGCCCTGTTCCAGGCCATGCTCTCCTGCACCGCCTCCTTCCTCCTCTTCCCCCCACTCTGCTGCTGCACTGGAGACGGCTCCGCATCCGGGATCGGCGTGTTGTTCTGTAGCTCCGCAAAGGGCGTGGGATCTGGAGTGCGGGCCCGCAAGGGGGGCCGCGCTTCTGTATCCTGGAAGCTCTTGCGCGTGGGGACGTCGATAGCCGTTGGACGCTTGGTGGTCCGGGGGGGTGCCGGAGGCTCGGGCGCAAGCGGGGGGTCCAAGGGATCTCGGAGGAAAAGAGCGTCTGGCAGGAGATTATATGGGAAAGTTGACGATTGTTGATGATGGGGAATGGAGGATAGTTGATGCATGTTGTGTCGTATGTTGCCGTTGGTGAAATGGAAGAAGAAAGAACGAAGAGCAGGGAGTTCTCTGCAGATGGCTAGAGTGGCTAATGGTGACAGGTTGCATGAAACATACGAGCCACGCTCCTTTTGGTGCAAGAGAACTGGTTCATGGCTTTACAAGATAACTCTCTTCAGACAGCCTTTTGCGCAAAAGCTGCTTTCAGAAGCTGGTAGCGCCCACGATGAGAACCGGCACAAAAGCGTTTGCTCAAGGAGAAAGTACATAAGGAAACCCGCTATTTGCTTATTAAAGTATGAATTTTGACCAGACAAGTGGATCTGGTCAGGCCCTCGTGTATGCTTGCTAAGCAAGCGAGGCATTTGTATATTAGCAAACCCTTTGGAAAGTTGCTCGCTGAGTAAGCTAATGATGCTGAAATCAGCAGAAGAACAAGCAGCACCCAATCAAAGTTCGCACTTCCGAAGCAATATGCTAGCAAAGCCATTGGCATGCTCGCTGTTCAAGGAAGGCTGAAAGGGGGTGGGAAACACTGCTTTGAGGCCTATCAGGCAGGATGAAGAAACCCACCTTCAGTTTCTTCAAAGGTAAACAATCAAAGCACTAGCAAAGTGCATGTGCAATTACAAGCAGAGACAAAGCAGATCGCGGGCAGTCCCTTGCCCATACCACCATTTAAAATAGGTTCAACTGCATTGCTGATTACGACATAAGCAGAACGGGAAAATTTTTCTACGTGTGCTCACCCTCATCGACTTGGAAAGCCTGGTCCCATGCCATGCTGCTACGCATCTTGTTCCGCCTCCTCTTTGTCTTGGTCTCTACAGGCGACTCATCTTTCTTATGGACTTGCATCGGTGCTGCAATATGGAGTTGCCAAGCTCAGGTCTCGGAAACCCTTCATTGTTGTTAAGCAGAAGAGAGTACCTGAGAACTTTCAAACAAGGCAGTTTTGGTAGGTTTCAGGGATCGGAACTGGGAGCCGGTTCCTCACGACAGGGCCAGATTGTGTTGGGGATGGGCATGCAGATGACCAAGTTGGAGCTGGCCGCATGTGGTGCCAAGATTGCCCTCTTTTAGTCTTGATTGAGGTCTAAACCAACTTTCGTCAACAGCTGTCAATCAGCAGCCAGTGCTCTGCTTGCAGCTCGGCAGGTTTAAAACCCCGACACTCTCCAGGCATTGCAATGTGCCCTATTGGAAGTGAACTCTGATGCCTTCAGCAGCACACACATGCTTCCATATTAAGCTGACGGAAGCAAAGCCCAACTCCAGAGGGTCCTTGCATTTGCACACCGCACCAAGTCAACACAGCAGACTGCATGAGATGCTCACCTTCAACACTGGGTTTCGGAGGGGAGGCCTTGAAGATCTCGGTGTCAAGATCAGAGTCCATCAGAAACCCATCTCCCTTGAGCAACATCGACTCAGCAGGCTGGTCTAGGTCGATCAGATCGCCATCCACAAGCAACCCGGACACAGAGAACCTTCTAGAAGTGCCCCTGCCCGCCATTCTTTCCTCCTTTAATCGCACCACATTTAAATTTTCAAAGGTTCTGGTTCTGAGACCATCTGCCGCAGGTCATTCTAGTTGCAGAGGATGTCTTTTGGTGTTGAGACCATCTGCAGCGATTCACAAGGTCATGCTCGTCTGATGGGCAGTCCACCTAACCCTCCTAGAGGCTAGATCCTGATGCGGACGCTCATTTGGAAAATGGGGCCGTCAAATACTCCCTGCTGCATACCGAAATGGCGAGGGGACGTCTACATGAGATGTTCCAGAATCCGACTGATGATCAATGATGTGCCCACAACAGCGCAGCGACTCTAAACTTTCGAAAGTGGAGACGTTGCAGGAGTTGGTTCCGTTGTCGGAGTTGGTTCCTCCTGCAAGAGTTTTCAGTCCCTGTTTGACTGGGACCCGGAGCTCTGTCACCGATCCTCATGCAGTGTCCAGAGTTCAAACCGGTATTAGTAGGTCTTGACTACGACTCATGAGCCGTGAGTCGTGACTCATGAGCGACCATGCAAATTGTGTCCGGGTTTGAATTTGTATTTCACTCTACACCCAAGCCTTTGCATGTGCAGCAAAGCGGCACCGTCGATGGGTCTCCAGCAGCTCTGCGAATCGTCCGATCGAGGAGGAGGACCCAAGTCCGCGTCAGATTCTTCTGCGCGCGCAAGAGCAGGTCAACTTTTTGAGCGCGCGCAACACTCAACGTCCACTACGCTGGTCAATCAGAGTCAACAACATCGTCAACAAGATTACGGTAGTCAGTAGCAGCAACTTTTCAGTCACCAACTTTTCAGTCTTCAGTCAAGCGTATTATGACCCACACTGGTGACACCTTGATAGGTGTCCATATCAGGACTGCACCTACCGTACCTGATTCCCCAGTCGCCAAGGATGCCAGCATTCATCACGCAAAGAGCAGAGCTGTAGTTCCGAGGGCAGCTGCTAAATGCAGACCAAGGAGGATAATTGAGCAGTTTCCTACGTAGCTGTTGTAGGGTCCAGAGCTTGAACACTAGCCTCATTATGCTGCTCAACTCCCCGCGTTGGAACGTTGGGGGTAAATATTCTGTAATTGCACAGGGATTGCATGTACTACCAGATACCAATCACATGTATTCAGATATTTGATCTGTGCTGTTCACAATTTTTGAATTCTTGATCTGAAGTACTGTTTCAATAGAAAGAGCTCGTCACGTTGGGCAGCAGCACCTCGAATTGACCGCCTTTTTTGCTCCTGCGCAATGGGCGATCTGGCAAGCAATGAACCTGTTCCCATTATACTTGTGACTGGAGCAACGGGGTCTCAGGGAGGGGGGGTTGTACGCCACCTTTTGAAGGGGGGGGGTTTCAAAGTCCGTGGGCTCACACGTGATGCCACATCTGTAAAAGCGCGAGCTCTTGTGGAGAGAGGGGTGGATGTAGTCCAAGGAGACCTCTTACAGCCAGATTCATTGACAAAAGTGAGTGCCACTGTTACAGGTTTGGCCGCCAGATAAATCACAATGCTGGGGTCTTTCATGCCCCCCACCGATAAGAAAGACAGATTTGAGCTCAATGGGGAAAGTTGATCAAGTTAGGAAGTGAACGTTATCTGAGGTCAGAGACTTGTGCTGACATGACGCACGTGTTGTCCGCTGTGAGTTCTCATTGATCCTCAGAAGAGTGCTTTGTTAAAGTTTTGTTGTCACTGAGCCACTTTGACAAAGTTAGACGTCCGTAAAAGATGGGATGGCGGTGACTGGAGAAGCCGCCAGATGAAGGGATGTGCTGCACCTGATGCACTATCTCAAAACTTGCCTCATGAAGGATGCTACTGACCCAACTCATCCACACTATGCTAACGAAACACAGTAGTCCTTAACTTAGCTATTCCGCCTATTTCCCTTCAGGCTTTTGCCGGGGCCAGCACACTTTTCTTGGTCACCGACTACTGGGGCAGCCGCGATGCTGACGTGGAGATAAAGATGGGCAAGAACGCAATCGACGCAGCGAAAGCCGCTGGAATCGACTTTGTGCTTTTCAGCTCTTTGGAGGATCCGGGGCCGATTGCCGGAGGCAAGATGGAGGAGGCAGTGCCGGGGAGGATCATGCCACAGTTTGAGAGCAAGGTTCGTACATTGTGGTTTATCTTCTCAGTTCCCAGCTGGTGGTCATGTCCAACCGCAACCTGAAATAATCTACCAGTAGATTTGTAAGTTTTACATCAAACAGGAGACCCACTTCATTCTCACAATATACGAAAATGTGAGATGGAGATGAATCCAGCAATCCACTGGTTCTGAGGGGCTTGAAAGGAATGAAACCAGAAATATTTTTTGGCGAGACCGTTTGAGGCTCAAAAGAAGTCAAGCAGGATCCGGGCGCTAGCTCCTAACCATACTTTATGTCGGCTGGGAACTCGGACCAGGAGCTATTCTTCAGAGCAAATATCATATTCACTACGCTTCAACAAAGATTGACACTGCATCCGAGAATCTCAATCTTTGTTCTTCCTTGCGTAAATGTCTCATGAGAATTGGGTCTGAAACTTCGAATTCCCGACCCTCTCTACCTTACTTCGTTCAAGGACCTGCCGGGGGAGAAGTACTAAAAACCTTTCCGTTCGCTGGATTTCCCATATTTCAGACTCGGGTCAGACTCCTTGCTGATCTTCGTATTAGCCTGTTCTTCGCAGGCTGAGATTGAGGCGCACCTCCGGCAGTCGGGCCTCCCCTTTGCGACCCTCCTGACCTGCATGTTCTACGACGACTTCGTCAACTTTCCGTTCCTTCAGCCGCAAGCGGACGGAACCTTCGTCTTCTACAGCAACTGCGGCCCCGCACCGCACCCCTGGCACTGCGCCGACGACGTGGGGGGATGCTCAGCCGTCATTTTCCGGGAGCAAGACAAGTGAGTACGCCGGTCATGTTTTGCCGTGAGACTCTGCTCCGGCCGTTGTCAAGGGGCCTCGCATGTTGCGAGCTTCACTCCTCAGAAGCTTCTTGAATTTCGTAGGACCCCTTGGATGTGTTCACATGACACTAATCAATCGCGTCTTGAGTACGTATGCTTTAATCTGTGAGCCGTTGTTTTTGTTTGAGAAGCTACAAGCGAAGAAGTCTGGTCGTCTTGCATTGCCACGCCAGGACACGCGAGCTCATCGTTAAAACCGACAACTCAAAATGGACGGGTCGGGGCAATCTCTCTTGGACTCGGAGTCCAAGAGACGAAACAAACAAACTCTCCCTTTCATTGAATCTCGGCTACATATTCGCCCCTAACCCTGCGCCTAAACCAACCCCCAACCCCTTTTCTTAACCTCCTTCTAGGTTCAACGGCCGTACCATCCCAGTCGTTGGCGAGCACATCTCGTGCTCCGATCTGGCGAAAACCGTGTCCGAAGTGACGGGGAAGACCGTCCGGCACCAGGAGCTTCCGGACGCCATTGCACGCGGGGCGTACGGAGCGGACCTCGCCAACATTTACGTTTTCCTCAGGTGTGTGGATGTGTTATGGTTACGAACCATGCCTTAGGTCAGACCTTTGTGCCGTTTACAAGAAAGATTTTGTCGGCTCTTTAGGAAGAGAAGCGGAAAGCAGACTCTGACGTAACAATCTAGATTCTTGCAGGTCTGGGCATGTCATTCGCTCGTTTCTCACTTCTGTCTTTCCAGCGCATTTGTAGCACCGTTCCCTCCAAGATCCGTCTATGTTCCTTGCCTCTTCACGGGTTTGAACGTCGATTGTCAGTGATCGAGCGAACTCATGCCAAGCTAGCGGTCGTGTAGGTCGCGAAACTCTGTCGGCCCTACTCAAAGCAGATGGTCCCACAATCGATTGAATCTTTCAGTATCACTACGGTGTTCCTTTTCTTCTTTTGACTCTTTCTCCCAACCATTTAGAAGATATTTCCGGCCGCCACCCTGCCATTGCCTGAGAACTCATACTTCTCCAAGATTCCTTTCGAAACGCCGTCGTTGACTTGAATTATACTCGATCAACAGGGACTTTCCCTTCCACGACGAGTCGCGGTCGGTCTCCGCTGCACATGCGATTTACAAGGGCCCCACCTTTCGGCAGTGGGCCGAGCAGAACCGGGAGGCCCTGCTACGGGTCATGTCACAGTCGTCCCCCGTATGATTCGACCGGGTCGTGGCGCCGCTGATAACTAACTGAAGCTGATTCTCGTGAGGACCACACCGGCACCATTGAACGTCAAGTTAAGTTGACTCCACTGGGTGCCTTTGCGAGCTTGAAGATATAGTTGTTTTTACGCGTCTTTCTGGCGCAGGTCTTCTGACACTGAGTCCCCGCGTTGACTCACGCACGTCAATCATTCTGTCTGTCAAAATCGATACGCGCCAGTGGAACTTGGAAGCCTGCCGTGTCTTGATCGAGCAAAGCTTCTTCGGCTGAACGTACGTAAATTTTGCCGCGATTGACGGACATGTGTGCAAATCCAAGAGACCATGCATTCATACTCTAGTCCGCTCAGCTGAAGCCTCGACCATATGAGCGATCATGTGGTGACACGTGTCCGATCCGGCATGCATGCATCAGTGCATTGATTATGCAGCCTCACGTATAGATAGATACTGGGAGCGGCCCCGGCGAATCGATGGAATTCGGCCAATTCCAGATCCGTCCAAAGGAACTTGATACACGGGCCCGCAGTTTTTCATAAAGACGGCCGCTTGCAATGATGCAGGTATTGATTGTTCTGTCTCTGGAGTACTCGACAGTAAAACACAATAAGAATGATTGACCGTACAATCTGGCTACTATACTTGCATCCGCTACATACTTGAATAGAGGCTGGCGGTTGCAATATCAACGGTCGCATATATTGCCAATAGCTGATCATGAAGTCGGTGTTTCGATGATGAAAACTCGTGATCGCATATGATTGTTTGCGCGCTCTCATGTCATTGATGATCAGTAAATGATGAATCATGATGGTGCTGCACAGTCCGACTCAATTGTGTGCATACAACGGAAAGCTCGCGGCCATATGCACAATGAATTTGTGGCCCGTCTCCAGACACATGTTCTTCTTATCGAATCGCATGATGTGTCCATCGGCAACCATTCAGTATATACTTTTTAACAACTGCATACGAGAAAACGGTGCTCATGACACGGAGCGGCCGGAGCCCGGCCTGCCCAGCCTGGCTGCGTGAGCGTAGTAACTCAGTCCTACCAGGTCCGGGCGAGCGTATTTCTAGATTTGCAGGTGAAAGATTAGGAGGTAACCTGTTGTGGCACAGTTCCAAGTGCCGGCCCGGAAAACCGTTTTCTGCACGGACGAGCTCGTAATTAGCAGAGTGCCCTTGATCGCCTTTTGCAATGGAAGCACGGGCGACTGCGTTCCGCCCTGATTCAAATCCTCCGTCACGAACTTATTCGTTGGGGAAGTTCTAGCGTCCCACCGATCATTTATGCTGGCCCAGTACCTCACTCACTTCCGAAAGAGGGCGGCGCACAGCACGGTCATGCCGCCCGGGTATCTCCCCGGCTCCTGAGCCAGGTTATCGCAGATCCGCTCGTATAACCGGTTGGCCCGTTCGGTGCCCATGTGGCAACAAACCTGCGGCTGGAACGCGGCCCATACCTGGTTGGCGGTAGGGGGAGAGGACCGGCGGGGACCTGTGTCGGGATAGAGCAACTTTATCCAGCGTTTGCTTTGTTTTCAAGCGCCTTAAAAAGGAGATCGCCGGGCAGATACTTGGTCCGACCGCAGCGTACTTTGTTGACTTTCTGGTATAGCTATAAAATGGCCTGCCCGTACATACGTGAAGCAATGAGATGGGACAAGTGTTCCATTAGAACGGAACCCTGATAGGCGTGATGGGAGTCAGCCAGAAAGCATGTGAGCATCGGTGCTGCTCAAACTTGAGCACAGCAGTCCAAGTGACGGCAGCAGCAACGGTGGGCAGTTCTAATTGCAGCTCAGGCCTTTAACAGATTCTTGAAGACAACCTAAGGTAAGAGCAGCAGAATCAAGACTAGCAGTCCATTTCTTGTCCCTTAGCTTCAGACAAACGAGTCCGCTGCGCGGTCCCAACGCTTGGGAAGACTTGAATTTGTTTCCGATGATGCTGGATTGGCAAGTATCGAAATTGAGCCCAAGACACGTTCTCTTCAAATGCTGTTACGTTCTTCCTCCAACCCTTAGTCGGTCGAGAACTATGGGCAAATGTTCTTAGGATGGGAAGGTGTAGGAGTTGCATCAATAGCTTTGCCTGCTTTTTTGGCTCTAGTGTATAACAATTTGTCAGAATCAATTGGTTTTTACCCACTAAAGGGTGTATATATGGGAAACCCGCAGGAAACGATTTGAAATCAAACGCCATTGTTATCCTTAATCGCAATGCAAGTGCAAAGCGATTGCTCCAATTTTCTGGCCCCAAGCAGCAACTCACAGGCTTGTAGAAATATGACAGAAAAGGAGAATAGTCACGAATGTTGAAAGAAGTTGACGGAAGGGAATATGTCACGAACGTCGAAAACAATTTACCTTGCTCACTTCCACCCGCCAATTGGTCGGCGTCTGCTCCCCTCTTGCTACGTACGTATTGCAGCGCGTGGATGTCGAACGCCTCGCTCTCGTTCACCGCTTGCCAAACCCCCGGCACGGTTGGGTAGTACGCTGCATCGGACGCAAAGAATATGACGTCAGCCAAGCCTGAGCCCACATCCGCGAAGCTTTTTAATTCCTGTTGAAAGCTGAAAGTCCCGCAGAGATCAAGACCTACCTCCACGCTTATCGGGGATACTCACAAGAAGGCTCTCTAGTAGTTCAGCCCGATCTCAATCACTAAACGACTTGTGGACACGAAACAATGTTGGCAGAGGGCCTGCATGTCGCCTCTCACCCGGAACGTTGAAGCAATCAATGACGTGGCTCTCCAGAGCCCCTTCTTCCGTTAGCTCTCGCCACGCGTCTTCTAGTACGCGCACCAACGTGTCACTCCGACAGCCCTCCGTGGTGTCGTCCCACGACGGCATGAAGACCCACAGCAAGCCGCCAGGTCGCAGTTCCGCGGCTCTGCATTGAACAGAAACGAGATCCAAAGCTACGATGAAGAACTCTTAAGAATAATAAAAAAGATGGATATTTGTAGGGAGGCATGAGGAACGTTAAAGTGGCAAAAGGAAAGATAAAGTCGAGAGCGTCACAGAGGTTTCTGACTGCAGCTCCGAGGATCTGTAAAAGTATGAGAAGTCGTCAAAAGGAGCGGAGGTAGTAATATGCGATAGATAGTAATAGAGAATAGTCGAAGCTGCGAGTTTCTGGAGAAGGGCGTTGCACACATGCAGCGGCGAAAGGAAAGGCGAAGTCAGCAAGGCGAAGTCAGCAATCTTGCCAAACCGTAGGAATCGCTTGCACTGAGGAGAAGTGAGAGCAACGAATTGTGACGAGTCGTCTCGGAAGAGTCGGAAAAGGTTTGTTGCAGCAGCTGGATGATTTTGATCAGGCATCGGGAACATGAGGGGGTGTCAAAGAGAGTTAAGACCAACATGACGAGAACGTCGAAGGAGATTTGAAGCAACAGCTCCATAAACTTGTAACTAGGAAAGTTCTTGACCCCTCCTCCATCACCTAAAAGCGTGAAGAGGATGAAGGATGTCCGAGATTAATAAATACACGTCGGATTCTAAGTAAAGAACCGTGAAGAGACGGGTGGAGGTCAAAGTGTAATAGCAGCGCCCCTCCGTGGCCCTGAGAGGAGACAGCCCTGACTTGGCGGCGAGTGGATTCACACGGCAATTTGGGACAAAGATACAAATCAAGACCAACGGCGATGCTTCCAGCCCATGCTCGGCGCCTGACATCCGATTTGACGGTCGCAGAGACACATTCGGTTTGATAACCTTGTCCCCAACCTTCTTAGGAGCCCGCCTAATTCTGTGTCGTCAGTTTGCACTTTGATATCAACAATGGTTTGATGAGTAGTACAGGGCCGAATCACAATCGTCTGAAGAAGATTACAGCGGCAAGATTCCCCTGTGCTGTAGCAGGATTCGCTGAAAAGCACCTGAAGTTAAGCGATTGAAAGGGCCAAAACGCTTACCTACCTGTGCTCCAAAAACTGTCGCAGATCTGACTCGCGCTGCCGGCGGTAGGCTTCCGCAACGTGCAACGGCGCGTCTCTGTAGCACCAGATGCGACCGGGGTTCCACCCGGGGGCTTCCGCCTCAGGTGGCAGTCTGCAAACGAAATGGACATGTTATGAAAGGTGCCGGGCAAGTTTGCCAGAAAAGGAAAATGTTGCACCCAGGTCTTCCTCCTTGGGTGGGAGTTTGCGCAGGAGCTGAGTACAAGTGAGATATGGGTTTCAGTACATTGCATCGGGAGAAGAGAAAGCCACAGACGGAGCGTTCTAGACAACTGTCACTCCTTTCCAAAGGCCCTTTTGCAGGGGTCTTGAGTAAGACTACAAGGTGTTTTCAGGTGTGCAGCTTAGACAGGCCACAGGCATACCTACCAGCACTCAGCGTGTCTAAATAGTTTCTTACTCCAGGCACCTAAGTTTGATTCTTTCAACGAAAACTCCCCAAGGAATCAACTGTCCAAGCTCTGTATCTGTTTTGACCATCTTTTCATTGCAAAATAAGCAAGAAAGCATCCATCTAGCTGCCCTCGCAACATCATGCAGATCATGTGTTAAGCACCCCCCACCTTGAGAGCCATTGCAAAGAAAAACTAGTGGTGGCAACGTCCAGAAATGCGTCCGGGAACAGCCGCTCGTAGAAAGACCCGGGAACAGCTGCCACTCGGCAGGGCAGCCCGGTTATCCCCCCACTTTCTGGTCGCTTGCTGGCGGTGTGAATGTGCCCCATGAGAGTGGCCCAATCATTGTCTGGCAGGTCTGAGAAGAAGGCTAGCACCATCTGTGGGTCAAAGTGACTATCGCCCCTGGAGGCTTTCATTTCAGAAGTTTGTAAAGCGGAGGTGCCGATGTTTTTCAGCAGAGACGCGTCCGTCGACCTGCCACTCTGGTTGACTTCTCTTTGCTCGGCGGTCTTTGCAGAAGCCTCTGGCTCCTCTTGTCCACTATTCTCCGGAATCTTTGGAATCTCTGGGATCTGACTTTCTTCTTCCACTGACTTTGCATCACCGTCCAACTTCTCAGCCCTTCCCCCCTGAAGCCTTTCTGAAGTGCATAAAAAGTTGCTGCCCTCATCCTGGGGCTCATTCGCACTTCCTAAAGCCAGCCAATGCATTATCAGCTCCATCTGCGCCACAGCATTCTTCCCAGTTGCTGATCCTAGGTCAGCAATGCAAACAGTTTGCTGACTGCTCTCAGCTTTCAACTCCCTTCTGAGCTGCAACCAATGGCCCAAAGCGTGCTTGAGAATCGGTCCCCCCAGCTCGCTGAAAGCATCCCCCTGTCTGGCGCTGTTCTCATCGTAGCTGGCATTGCCTGGCCCCCCTGCCATAACTGGGGGCAGCTGCGCGGGCGCTGAGGTCATGCTGCTGATGTGGACTCGCAATGCGAGGCTGCTTTTGCTACTATAAGGCTAGAACACACGAATCTGCCAGAAACTAGGTTTACATCCTGAATATCAGTCAATCTTGTAGCTTGAGAAAGAGTTCTTTCTTGGACCGGATGGAGATTGCAATCTGCTGCGCGAAAGCGCGCAACATGCAAGCTATGTTACTGCGCCTATTTAACTTGGTGCCAAACATGCGTCTTCCAATTTCTGCGTCCAGCTGAGAAGAATGCCACTCTGATCAGATCCATGCAGCTGTTGCGCGCACTCATCCACGGCCCAGCGCGCTCCTTCCGATCAGCCTGTGTGGCGGCAGGCAGCATGCACTGCCAGCAGCTGTCACGGTGGGGCGCGTTTGCAGCTGGAGAGCACTCCCGCAACCCTCTATCGACGGCAGTCATCTGGCATCAGCCATGATCGACGGCTTTAAAGTGGGCGTGCCCCTACAAAACCCCCTTCGGCTCGAATTTCCGCGGACAACATTGTGCCCGGGGGATTTGGTCGTAGCGTATTGGCAGAGCGCAGAGTCACAGGCCAGAAATTCACGGGTTCAAACCTCGCAGAAGTGCATTCTTTTTCGTTCTTTTTGGGTGTTCCGGAGAGCGGCGCATGCAGAATCACGGTGGTTTCCACTAAGGTGAGCCCCCGCAGTGTGGAAGTCACTACTGTGACCTGGAAATTGGGAGCGCTGTAGAACCCGGCGACTCCGGCGCGTTGCGGCGCAGGTCTCAACAATCCACAGCGATATTGAAATGGCTCGTGGCCCGTGGCTCCGGCCTAATCAATTAGTCGGGCGCAAATTTCCGGTTTACCGTACGCCGGAGTCATGAGTTTCAACCGAGGACCGAGTCTCGGCTCAAGAACAAAGTGCATGCAGACCCGTCGATTTTCATGGCATCTACGGTACAAACACTGACGGATTGTAGCCGACGGCTGCCGAAGTTGCTTTACCGTCCGGCGTTCCGCGGAACAGAACGCCCACTTTAAAGGAGTACCGCACCAAGCGCAATAATCTGGTGATCACCGTGAGAGCGCGCGACCTGCGCGCGGTGAAGCCGCGGTCGTGCGCGTGGCCGCGCGAGACAGTACGATCTTGAAGCGCCCATTGCGCCGCAGCACAAAAGATGCTACTGTAGCTAACAATTTAAAAAGGACTTGCGTGACAATTTCGCATACCTACAAAGCTTACTGACCTTATGTTACCCACAATAACTGTAGCTAGGCTAATTGGACGTCTGCTTGTCTGCTTGATCGACTTGCCGAGAGCGGAGGAGAAATACTACATCAATGTATAAATTGGTCCAAATATCTGGAGTATGATCTAGTCCTAAGATTCGATTGCTCGAGTCGAAGCGATCTGCGCGGTTTCCCGTGCTGCCGGCGCAAATCACCGAATCACGGTCTCGTCTTCTCAAGGCTTCACTGAAGTACTGAAGTTGATGTCAACAGTTAAAGTACTTGCAAATGCTCTTGGTCCAGCCGACATCTGCCTACTGAGAAAGCGTTCGGTACTGACGATGTCGACCCACATTGATGTTGACGAGGTGCTCCGTCCCATGCAAACGGCCGCACAATGTTGTCTGTGTCGACGCGCACGAATAATGCCAAGTGAAAAGATGCGCCCTTCACTGTCTTCCACTGGTTTGCGCCGGCATCGCAGTTTGAGGCAACTCCAGCAATCAAAGCCGTTATTGACAGGTCTTCCTGCCTCCTCTTTCTGTCACTGCAAATGATTCGCTTCGGAAAGGTGAAGCGTTGCTCCAAGACGTCGAGTACGGTTGAGACCAGCCGGTTGCTTTTTCAAACACAAGCCCACGCTCGAGCTTGCTTCAAAAAGCCTGCGGCACACTGGCGTTTGAGAATGTAAGGCGCCCCTCTTCCTCTATGCCTATCCTTTCAAAAGCTGCAGGACCGCTTCCAGATTGCGTCCCTTCAAAACAAGGCCACTGAGCTGCTTGAAAAGCGCATCATGCATTCGTCAGCCGTGCAGCCTTCTCCGGTAATGACCGGGGGGGCGGGCCCCGCCAGCTACGATGAGAACAGCTCCTTCCAGGGGAATGCTTTCGCGCTGCTCGGGGGACCGATTCTAAAGCGCGCTCTGGGTCATTGGCTGCAGCTCAGGAGATGGTCGCCGCAAACCAAGGAGCGCGCAGTCTGCATCGCAGACCTTAGGTCGGCGACGGGGGAAAATGCCGTGGCTCAAATGGAGCTGGTGCTGCACTGCCAGGAAACGACGGGTTTGGAGGAGGAAAAGGGTGGGTGTTTGGAGGGTGTGAAAAGGCCCAAGGAAGAAGACGGGGTGTCGACTGGTGATACCGGGACTCGCAGGTCTGCAGAATCAGCCCACAAAATGGAAACTAGGACGGGAACAAAACCAGCGCAGAACTGCAAAGTGTGCTGCAAAGCAGCCCACGGAAGCGCACAGACGCCTTCGATTCGGACGGTGCTTTCGATCCACGGACCGTGATGGCCTTCTTTTCGGACCTCCCGGACAACGACTGGGGCACTCTCTTGCGGCGCATTTACATTGACAGCAGGGGATCAGGAGCCGCGGGGATCCCCCGGCTGCCCTGCCACGTGGCAGCCGTCCCGGGGTCGTTCTACGAGCGGCTGTTTCCGGACGCCTTTCTGGACCTCGCCATGTGCAACGCGGCCCTGCACTGGCTCTCAAGGTAAGCTTATTGTGGGCTGCTTTGCACTGCCCTTAATATAATACGCGATATCGCCCAGATGCGTCAAAGCCCGCGAGGTCGTCGACACAGTAGCTAGCGAAAGTATCTGTATGAGAAACTTTTCGGGTCTCTGGTGAGAGTGTCGTGTTAGGTTTCTTGCTCGGAAACACGCTCGTGATCCTTGTATCAAGCTTGGGCGCGTAAAAAAAAAACAAAATTTCTTATCCAAAGTGGAGCATTTCGGGTTGTTCACGACCGTGTTATCAATTCACCATGGCAAGGCTACCGCCCATCAGTCGGTCAGCTTGAGAGGCGACAGTATTTCTCTGCTTGCCAGGACGATTATTCATTTCAGACAACAGAAACGTCATTTTCCCCTGCTTCTTTACTCGTCTCGTAACCTCGGCAATCGGTAAGTGGAATCAATCAACCAGAAGTTCATCCTTCCTTGCTTCTTTACTCGTCTCGTGTCCCCGGAAAGCTGGTTTCGACGTGATTTTCAGGCAACCAGAGCTTTATCCTTCCTTGCTTTTTTACTTGTCTCGTCCCCCCGGATATCTGATCCCGACGTGGTTTTCAGGCTTCCGCCCGAGGCTGAGGAACCGGGGTGGAACCCCGGGCGGGTCTGGTGCACTCGGGGCGCCCCGGAGCACGTCGAAGAAGCGTACCGGCGTCAGCAGGCGGTGGATCTCCGCGCGTTTTTGAATCTCAGGTAGGTGTGCAACTAGCTGGTCCTCAATTAGTCGGACAAACGGGAAGTGTAAATGAGGATTAGCCTTTCAACTAGGTGAGCAGCGCAAATCAGCCGTTCGATCGGCATTGACGGTCTTTTCACTCCAATTTCCACCTAATGAAATCTCCCGTCTTATAGACTCGTGAACGTTGTGCGAATTTCGGTCCGGATGACCGCGAACCGGTTTGAGTTCACGTCGATTGCCTCCTTCAACGTGTGCTGACATTTAATCAGCGAACGTAGCGGGTTGGATTCCCGGGGCTCAGCCGTGCTTTGCAAGAAAGCTCTTGTCCGAACTGGGTCCGAAGTCGATCCGAAATAATTTGCGGTTCAGACAGAGTTCGGACAGGTTCGGACAGGTTCGGACCCATTTCGGACATGCTTCGGACTGGTGCTGCAAAACGGACATAAGAGTTCGGATCGGATCCGGTTCAGGTCCGTGACAGGTTTGGACTCGCTTCCGATCAGAAGTTGTGTCCGAATCTGACACTTTCTGACGTATCTTCGAAAAGCTGACCTTTCCCACAACATGGCCCCTGAAAGCGCAAGAACCCAGGTTTCTGATCTGCGGAGAATTCAGAGCAGAACGGAAGGCAGATTCGCGACTCTTCACCCACAATGGTCATCTTGGCTGCACTTTTAGCATCTCTTCCCGAATCAAGCGTCTGCCGAAGTCAATCTGTAATTCGTTCCCAATCCCGTCACTCTTCCGCCGCGTGCTGCTCCGCCACGTCAGCTTACGTCAGCCTGAAGCAAATATCACATAACCTGAGGAGAATACTCTGTTCATCACCAAGAGAGCCTCAGTAAAGCTCGCTAAATTGCTCCAGGGGCCTTCTGAGGCGGCCACGCACGAGGACCCTTTCGAATCATAATCTCGCATCCACAGGGACACGTGGCATGATCGGGTTTCACGCGGCCTGAACTAATTTGCCGCAGGGCCGATGAGCAGCGGCCCCGAGGCTCGCTGTGGCTTTTTCTGCAGGCCACGTCAGGGATTTATGAAATCTGATTTGAGCGCCACGTTGTGCGCCACCTGTCCCTAAGGACACGTGGCATGATCTAATCAAAGAGACCTTCGTTTCGTCGCAGGGCCGCTGAGCTGCGCCCCGGAGGTTTGCTGTGGCTCCTCCTGCCGGCCAAAGATGAAAGCGGAGGTCTGAGCACCACGTTTGGGCGCATCCTGGAGGACGCGTGGCGAGAGCTGACGCAAGATGGATCCCTGGACACCCACTGGCTCGACAGCTTCAACATTCAAGGTGGGCCCTTCCAGCGTGTTATTTGCTTGTTTCTTATATTGTTCTTACATTATGTTTGAATCTTGAAGTTCAGCTTTTTAGGTTCAAGATGATGTTCGTTCCGCAGAACACTGAATATTGTGTGGGGTCCGAGTGCATTTAATGTGGTCAACCCGCATCTGTAAACTGGACGTCATAATGTTTTGAGAACGACTGGGGATACGCAAGCGTGACCCGAAAACTCCCCATCAATCTCGTCAATGGCAAAGACTGGTGCGATGACGTTGGAAGAAAGATCAGCCCGCAGTAGTACGATTGCTTCTGCGTTTCTGTGGATTTTGCGCACCACGACTGGAAGACTTGTGCTTATTTACAACACCTTGTCGTACATGGTCATATAAGATTGCGACTGAATTTCTGCAGCAAAGATTGACGTTCGCTCAACTTGGAGGTGGCCCGTCGAATCAGTCTTCAGCAAATACTTCAGTCGGTCCAGAGGTTTCGAATTGGTCTTTGAACATTCTTGCCCACATAAACGAAGGTTCAGTCCGTTGAAACTGCAGACGTTTTCCTCACTTTCTCGTTCTCTGTAACCCGTAGATGCCCTCCCAGCTACCGCAAGAACGGGAAGCAGACTCGGGCTGTCGCATAGATCAAAGGCTAAACCAATAAAAAAAAACACTTTCGGGTCGTCGGATCATTCAGCATTTGGCATTTCATTGACGAGCTTGCATCTCGCCTCATTCCACGTTCGGTACTTCATTGACGTGCTTGTATCTTGCCTCACACTTCCCCAGATTGAGCAGAAGCTCCATAGCACAGAAGCCTAACAAGTAACAGAGACACAGTCTTCTGCAGATCTCTTGATGGAACAGTATACTTCCTTTTCTTTCGTTAACCGTCTACCCTTTAAAAACTCTCGACCATCCTTCAGCGGACGTCAAAGCTCCGATTCTACTCAGATCAAAATTCACTCTCTGCAGCATATTTTCCCACTCTTTCGGACGTCCGCCAAGCCGTGACCGAGTCCGGGGCGTACGACATCCACGCCCTCGAATGCGTCCGGATGAGCGGAACGATGCCGCTGCGGACGGGCCGCGGAACGCTGGCCGGCGACGACGTGCAAGGTAAACAGCCCTTTCTGTTGTGTCCGTGCACGAATTCGACCGTCCTTGTTTCGAACTAGAGGATTCCAGACTTCTTGACCAACGAGAGCTCCTTTTCCAGTTGGTGCTCAACCGTCTGCACGGGGCTAAGGTTGAGCCCACCAAGGCTCCACGTGGCAGAGCAAAGAAGAGAGGCGGGGGCTCTCTTTCTTCTGGTCACTTGTTGCTAAAGAACACGCAAGTCTGCTTCGTAAGCATTGGGGGTCGGAGCGGAATCTAAAATGTATCTGAATCTGGATGCCCACGTTCGGTCGTATTGCTGCGTCAAGCCCGCTTATGACACGTCATCGTACAACCAAACAGCTAGCACACTTTCACGTTTGTACTGTCACCAGGGATGTCGTGTTCCCTGACGTCATCCAGACTCCCTGTATTGTCCCGTTTTCGTAAGGGACTAGCCATACCCGCAAGAGCCAAAAACGAGGCGAGAGTGGAGGTGTGGCTTAACCAGACGCGCTCATAACGTTCTTTTTGCAAGTGTCCTTATTCGTTGAGTGATGTTTGACTAAATGATAGCATTGGTTTTATATATTCAGGCACATCTTTGTTTACTCATTGATCCAGGGAGTGCATAAGAAGTAAACTGATAAACCGAGGACGGGCAGCCTCTGATCAGCTCAACCCCAAAGGCTTCATCGCTCTAAGTCTGCTCGAAAAAGGTTTCAATCCCGGCAATCCAAGCCTTTCTTACAATTCTCTCTTCAGGTACCCCTCGCCTCCCCCTCCCAAGCGTGGCCCACGTGTGGGCCGTTATTCAGCCGCAGATTTGCGGTCACACGGGCACCGAGCGGGGCAGCCGGTTGTACGAGCGGATGTGCGAGATCTGGGCCCGGGAGCCCGACAAATACAACCGGGGGACTGGCGCCGTGATGTGCGTGGCACTGTTCAGGAAGTAATGATGATTGTCTAGCGGCCAATACCCAAGGAGAAACTTCAAGTCTCTGGCAACGGATAGTTTGGGTAAATACCGTTCTGGTCAGATTCACGTGGAGGACGACTTTATCCAATAACTGAATACTCTGGCAAAGTAATGCATCGACCACTTTTTGCTTCTTTCGAACTTGCAACCGTACGTTTGAGAAGCTCAGACGTGCATTCTGGCGGGTGTCTGTCTAATAATGTATGGTATAATTCAGTCCTACGTGTTCATTTCTGTCCATGTCCAACAGATACGATTCTACAAATAATGATAAGACCAACATCTTGTCACAACCGGAAGGCTTCGTTTGTGGGGTGGCTCGGACAGACTGGGATCAACGATGCACATACGAGATCATTCGTCCATTTGAAGCCAAGCCGCGCCGGACACTGCCAGAGACATGGCTCAATCATCTGCATCGGAGGCTCAGTGTTGCAAAGCGGCGGCGGCCCTCACTAAGTCAAATGCATGCAACAGTTGCAAGCCACTGCGATGGTCTGGCTGAAGTCTGGCTCTGAGTCTGGGCCAGTACGAGCCGGTGAGTCTAGCTACCGGCCGGGGCTGCGCAGCTAGCGTAGCATCTTCTATATTTGCGCGCAGCGTACTGTAATCAACGATGCTATGTGAGTTATACTCCAGCTCAATTGAATTTGATTTCAGCGGCCGCCGCGGCTCAGCTGGCGGCACTGCCGGCCTCGAGCCTGCAGTGCACGTGAGGGGTCCATGTGAACAACTCGGCTCTCTCCATCAAGCATATGTGGGACATCACTTTTGCTACTTGATTGACAGTGGGAAAGGATTTTCTGCAACGATATTGACCTTGCACCATGTTTCTACGAGAATGTTCCTGTACAGATGAGCTTTGATTTAGGGCATGCTTTGTAATGTGATCCTGTAATACCTATGGCCTTCTCTAAGCGAGCAATGAAATAATAATCTTCAGCGGCCTTGCAGTGCCAAAGTGTTACCTATTCCAATAGGTGACTGAAAAACGACAACATATTGTCCTCGAACAATGCTGTCTGTCTCTGCGTCGACACTCCTTCCGTCCGAGTGTTCTATGAATGAATAAGATTACTCAACAGGCGCAGGCGGCGGGCCCCACTGTCTACTCATCTCCGTTCTGAAAACAGAGCACATCCGAAGAAAGCTCGGCATCCCCTTTTCCCGAAACTCTTCGTAGTCCCAAGTCCCGTACAGTTGAGGGTCGTGCGGGTCCGCCCATGAGTAAACATGCGCTTCCACTGTTCGAGCGGCCCCCGCTGTTTGCGATTGTGATGGAAGAGCCGGCGAGTCTTCTGGATCCCCAGCTCCGCTTGTCCCATCGACCTGAAAGCAAGAAGATTCTGAATCAAGGAGAGAGCGGAACGAAACACTGTGCTGATCGACCTGCTCCAAGGAGAGGGCTCAACTACCTGCTGATGCAGGAAAATTGAGATTCTCGCAGATTGGAAGACTTTGTGTCCGATAGCCAGTGTGTTCGACCCGTTTGCAGCTCAAACGCACGACAATCGACTATCCCTGCTTTCATAAGTCCGTTCCGCATATTCCAAGCTTGACTAAGTCTGGTCGACTGATCTGGACGAGAACTTCGGACCGACACACAGACTTTGGGACAAACGAGCAGATTTTCGTTTTAGAAGCCCATCGGACCGTTTGGTCATCCGGGTTGCCGATTCACCATCCACGAGAAGAATGGGCATGTCGAGAATCGAAGCAGTCAGCTTTCACGGATGTACTGTTAGAGATTGCGCTTTTGAACATATACCTGGTGATAGTTGTGGACGTCATTCCTGGGCCCGTCATACAGTCCAACAATCAACGGAGGATCGTCTCAATGCCCAGGACAGAACAACTAGGATGCTTTCCCCACGGACTCTGAAACGCTCATTACTCAGATTATAACAAGGCAAAGCGAAGTCTCACCATAAGAACCGCATCGACCAAGCACCGCTCGTAGTCCTCGCTTTCGAATTCGTCGAAGACGGCCTGCTCGTGGTCCGTCAGGTCGAAATAGACCTGCGCGCGACCGAGGGAATTTGTTTGTACACGAAGAAACGTCAAACTTTAGGCCTTCGACACGAACATCCGGACACGTAAACTGTGAGTGTGTGAGAAACCCGTGGCCTATCAGTACGAGTACTTTCTCGGGGTTGAAAGCCTTTTTATTAGCTTTGGATTGCAATCATCTGTGTCTTTACCAGAAGCAAGCAGGTTATGCTGTGTATTTTTAAGGTTGCAAGTCGCCTGAAGGCACACAGCTTCCACATGTCTGCTTGGTTCTTCTTGGTTCAAGGCTTCGAAAAGATGCTGACCTGGGTTGCTCAGAAACAGTGCAGCACAGTGGACCCTATGGACCAGGACTCCATTGACAAAGAGGAGGCAACGCATCAATCAATTGCCTGTCCCGCTTCTTTGACAAGGTACCAGATCCACGACGCAAGACGAAAGCAGGATCTTCGTGGCCTTACAAGTCCAACAACGCGCCCACCGTTCTTCGGGGCAATGGCAGGATAAGACCTGCCCTCGATGCTGTAGCGGTGACTGCAAGCAACCAGCACCATCGTCAGATTCACCGTACGTCCTCCAAAATGTCCTGCTGTGTCAGTATGTGATCTGCCCAATGATGGAAGGTTGCTTTCTATAGGACGTGTTCAATGCTTCTGGACTGCACAACCGCTTTTGGAAGTTCGTTGATGCAGAAAGCCTTTGGCCCAATGCCTTATGTTCAAAATCAACCTCATTTAGGTAGAGCGTTCTTCAGCAATCGTGTTTGTAGGGGGTAGAGCACTCGATGGGCTAGGGTGGCCCAAAGCTTGACCGATCCCAAGGAAGATCAAAGGGCAAGCGTTCACACTCTGCCAATGAAGAGATTAAAAATAGAATGAATCCAATAGGCTGACGCCATACGTTCCAGCTCAGCTTGCGGCACCAAAACATAGCAACCGATAAGCAAGGGGTCGAGATGGTAGCAAAGGGGCTGGCCCAACGAGCATAATTGCAAATACAATGAGCACATTAATAGCTCTTTGAGATACTAAAGTCCTCTCCGAACCGTGCTAGATAGTCGCCCATCACACGGCTCACCAATCATAATATCTTCAGTTATAGGTAATTTGCTTATTCTTTCGTCTTCTGAATAAGCCGCCTTTCGCTGGATTATTTCCAATATAATCATAGAAGGCAAGTTTAGCTGGGATGTTAGACCAGGCCTTAGATGCAGGAACTCCTTGTGGCGTCTGTGGTGCATCTCTTGGTGGCGAGCCTGGCTCCAGTTTGACAGCAATATTTGTTCTTCAGAGCAACTGGGGAATGCTAGGAAAAGTCCAAAGTGTGCATTTACAATCTGTTACTAGACCTATGAACCAGTCTGCAAAACTCAGCTGCTTATAAGACATGGCTGTTGAAGGGGGTTTCCTAGCTGAAAATATCAGTAGCAGCAACATAAAACACATTAATGGTTTTCTGTGACGCCGTCAAAAATCTCAGCAGGAGGGTGGGGCGGCTGAAGTAAGATGTACATACATGATCCCAGATTGAAAAGAAACGACTCCAAGTTCATCAAAATGTCTGGGTAGAGCTACAGCACAACTGGTGGGGGACATATAAAATGTTGTGTAAATCACCAGAATTGGAAAGTTTGTATGAAAATGGAACAGCCTCCTGTGTTGGCGATAACCACGCACATCATCCTACTGCACTTTCAATGAAGCCCCCAGAGTGAAGCTGTAGGCGTTCACTGGTCTTTTCAGATCTGAAAGACAACTCTTTGGCACAAAGTTCTAAAACTTACCTGGTGAGAAGTTCTTTCAACAGAGATGAATCAGCACCAGAGCAATTCGTTGTGCTGAGATGCTCAAGGGAAAAGGGACTCACTAGTCCGTCAAGTATGCAGCAGCACAGGGAGGGATCCGTCCTATCAAGATCCGGACGACCTCCTCAGCCAGCAGGCTCCCATATACAAACACGTTCTTCACCTCCCCCGCAAGCGACATCTTAGTCATTCATTAATTAAGCACCAGGAAAGCAGACACCTGGTGTGCTCGCGGCCTATTAGGAGGGATCTTGCTGTCAAGACAATAACAATACTCAAATGGTGCCCAGCTTTTTGGCCCTGAGATATGTTCAGACGCTTGACGAGCTGGCTGATCAATACAGCAACCTGCAGTCTAAGGCACGCCGCCCCAGTTCCCAGCTCCCTTCCTTTACGAGCTATCTAGGGGGGGAGTTCTGGAGACTCATCATCGTGTTCAGGACTGTTAAAAACTCAGAGTTGCAAGGCTTCAGCAGGCTCTGGAGCCTGAGGTACGGTATTCTGCGAGTTCTGAGTTTTCGTCCAAATAAAAGATGTGTGTTGATTCTCTTACAAAGCAAAGTCCCGGGTGATTTTGCTTGTAGTTCGGTAGATGCAGGTAGATGCTGCCAAGGTTGTCAACCAGGCTCAGTATAGGTCCGAAAGTTGTACCCCAGCCCGGTAGTCGCTGCTCGGGGCAGCCGATGTGACCACTCTTTGTTGAGAAAGCAGCTATAGCTGACAATCAAATACTTGTAATACGAACAACAGTTACTAGTAGCCCTTCCCTTTGTGTGAGTCTGACTCTGAGCTCGTGACTTTCTCGCAGTCTGTCTCCGAGCAAGGCGGAGAGTTGGCGGAGAGGGAACTTTGCAGGTTAGAAAAGCGGCCAGGAAAGGGGCCAGGGAAAGGCGCTGACACCGGTTGTTGAGGCCCCTTACATAATATACCAAAGGGATTTTGAGTCGAAGGGGCGAAGGAATTTGTGCGGATTGTCAGGATGGATAGAGATTTTGGAAGCAAGACGGGTGGGGGTGGTGTAGCGTCCGCCCAGAATGAGGCCATCGATAGAAGGGAGCGCCTGCGGAGGCTTGCGCTTGAGACCATTGATCTTGCTAAGGACCCTTACTTCATGCGCAACCATTTGGGAAGGTGAACTTGCATCACTTCTTTTTGGAGGAAAATGGGGGATGGAAAATTAATGCCATGCTTTAATGATTCCTTCTACGCATCGAGCTCAGACGATGGTAAAATTGTAGGAGAAGTGAGCGAGTATAATGACTGCATACTTGCTCACACTGTGATAATGGTGCAAACAACTGCAAAGTACTACTCTGTACTCTTGACAGGTTGACGGTTCAGTTGCTTGTAAGTTTAGCACAGTTGAAGGCAGGAGGGACCTGTCACTTACGTCATAGGATCTTGCTTTAGTTTCCTTTTTTGTGAGGAATCAAGCGTAGCATCCTGCCGAATCAGGTCGAAAGGACACAATTCGCATCCCAATTCATTCATTTGAAGTGGCCCAGTGGTATGTTGGAGTCCTTCTGCAGTATTGAGCAGTGCCGGGCTTCGCTCTGTTCTGCTTTGCATTTTCGTATATAAAATAGTCAATCACCTTTAAGTGAGGCCACAGTTTCTTGCACCAATTAGCCCGGGTTATCCTAACAAGACTCTCCTTCCGTACTCGCAGCTATGAATGCAAACTGTGCCTCACTCTGCACAACAATGAGGGGAACTACCTTGCGCATACTCAAGGAAAGCGCCATCAGCAGAACCTGGCAAAGCGGGCCGCCAAAGAAGCAAAGGATCAGCCGGTCCTGCCGCAGCCAAGCAAGAGGAGGATCGACCCCCGCAAAACAGGTAAAACTAAGGACCACTTTAAGAAAACTTGCTTTTGGATAAGGGATGGGGGGCGGAGCCTGCCGTGCACATCTAAGAGTGTGAGAGTCCTACAGCGGGTTATTATTCTGCAGATGCGAGCCAGGTGGATATGTACGGCATGCCTTTGACCTGATGCACAGATTTGCAGCACCCTTATGGTCATTGTTACTTCCCGAGCAACGTTCTCTTTCTCGTTTCTGTACCACAAATTCGATGCAAGGCTTCTCCACACACTGCAAAGCATGATGCCCCCTCGATTATGCGGAAGCCGGGTCCAGGGGACCGATGTCGCAAACAATTAGGAAAGAGGGCCCCACCCAACTTTCTCAAAACCCCTGTCATGGATCTGGATAAACCTGGATATTGCCTAGATAAGTTCCTGGATAACCCACCAAGACCAAGATCTGAAACCTGTACAAACATCTCTCGTCTTTCTCTCCGCAGTCAAGATCGGGCGGCCTGGGTACCGTGTGACGAAGCAGTTTGACAAGGAGACGAAGCAGCGCTCGCTGCTCTTCCAGGTCGAGTACCCGGAGATCGAGGACGGGGTGGCGCCGCGCCACCGCTTCATGAGCGCATTTGAGCAGAAGGTGGAGGCGTGGGACAAGAAGTACCAGTACCTGCTCTTTGCGGCGGAGCCGTACGAGGTCATTGCATTCAAGGTGGGTGGTGCAGACAGCATTATTGGTGCTATTCATATGTCATAAAGTCTTTGAAGTACCTGCGGTTTGCTGCAGAGCCGTACGAGGTCATTGTGTTCAAGGTAGGTGGGCCGGGAACGCTTTTGGAGGTGTTCACATATGCAACCCTTTTGAGGGCCTTCTGTTTGCTGTGGAGCCGTAAGTGGTTTTTGCGTTCAAGGTGGGCAGGAGCGAACAACTCAAGGAGTGATGAGCACATATGCAAAGTCTAGCGTCAAATTGGAAGGCCGTACAAGTCTCCGATTGTCTTGTCCGCCTGAGTCCGGGAGTACCGGAGTCTGGGGAGGAGGATCGTTGGATGGAGGGTACAACCTGAAGTGTTTCTAGGGCGACCAGAGGTTCCTTTGTATGTTATTGCTTGGTGCCACACTTATTGTGGGTCAAGTCTCCTTCTCAAGGCATCTTGGAGGCGGGCCGCTCATGAGACCGTTTCCGAAACTGTCCAGACAAAGCAAGGGAGAATACGTTCCTCTCGTCTTCCTCTTCTGATGGTGCAGCGCTTGAGTTTCTAATCAGGTCCCACTCATTGACAACGGTTTAGTGTTGCTTCGTTGTTGTAGAACATTCTTTGGCATTCCATTAGTTCTCATATCCTGAGTTCATTGCTAGGACTGGCTCGGGCATTGTCTACATATTTGTCTATCCCTGAAAAAGCCCCTCAGTCGCTGCCGTGTCAGCGGGTCGATTGCGGCGACCAATCAGAAGTCGAACCTTAGTGTTCCATTGTTTGCCAAGATGAAACCGAAGTTTCTGGCGAGCACCCTCGTAGATTCCTGACATCATTACAGACCTGCTGATGACCTGTCTTTTGTTGCAGATTCCCAGCATCGAGATCGACAAAACGAACAACTTCTACACTTTCTGGAACCCTGACGCCAAGGTCTTCACGGTATGCTGCGCTTCCTTTTCTGGTCCTGTTGCCATTCTGCAAATGTGGTCTTGTTTTCGATCATGAAAATCTGCATCTTTGTACGAACCGTGAACTCCCCTGGCTCCCTGTTTACACAACCCATTGATATCGGCCAAGTATTTTTGTTTTAGGCTTTGTTGCGAACCAGGGGTCCATCAGACAAGCTGCGGATTTTTCAAGACAAGCTGGTCTTTGCCTAATTCTCAGGCTGGCGGACTGCAAAGAATAGAGAACTACGTAGTTGCTTTTAGGCCGACCTACGATCTTCGTACTAGTGAATCTTGCAGTGCGGACGTGCCTTGTTGTGCTTTGTGCCGAGCTCGATCTGACGTCGTGGAAGTGTTTTGCTTACCGTTACAGCATATATCTGAAGCATGTCAAGTTTACCGGCATTTCGTTGTAAAGTCTAGCTTTTTGAGTAGCACTTGTTGGCCCCCCTAAAATGTCGGATGTGCTCCAGCTCTGGCGCAAAGCTCGGTGTAGACCATCTTAACGGTGGTATATCTTCGCCCAAAGCATGATAGAATCTATTTCAGGACACGTCTGCACAAAGAACTGACCAACTTCACACCTGATACGGTACGCTTAGTTTTCTTGAAGCTCAGACGCACTTGATGCAACTTCATACTAGCATCCGCTTGCAAGGCACTCTTCTGTCAAACCTTTTGAAAACACTCCCTAAATTGGTCGGTCATCGTCTTTTTGCAGCTGAACCTCTACTTCAAGAACAAGGCCCAATTGGCGGCTCCGTCCGCAGTCCCCGCACCCCCTTTGGCCCCCGGGGTTGCTTCCCGGCCCCCCCCTCCTCCATCCGGGCTGGTACCCCCGCCGCCTGGAGTGGCTGGTCCACCCCCCCGGGACGTCGTTCCGAGCTCTGGGCCTGCCAGACCACCCCCGCCTCCAGGAGCAGGTAGGATTCGGTCGTGCTTCATTTGTTCCCGCTTTGTTCTTACATGCAGGGTTTGTCTCGGTCTCTTTTTCCACAAGTTCTCTCGTGTCGTTTTGGAACTTCTTGAAAGGAGAGCCAAAGTGGAGGCAAGTAGGCCGCAGAATAAATCCTGGATTGTCGAAAAGACTCGAGAGACTCAGGGGACAATTCAAATAGACGCAGGGGCTTTTGTCTCGCATCCTTTGCTGCGTCCTTCCAGGGTACGTCTCTCAAGCAAGTAGCGCCGAGGCAAAATGTTTAGAAGCGAAGCGGATTGGCTGACGAAGAGAGTTTGAGCAGCCGGGTGCTCTTGATGTTGCCAGAGTCTCGGTCTTGTCTCCGCTATTTGAAGATGGACAGCTCACCTGTAAAAGGGGGCCTGCCCTTCCGTATTACCGCATACATTCCACCAGACTGTCTTCGTCAATCAGCACGATCTCAGACGCCCCAGCCTTTTCCTGTCTGCACAAATCAACGAACCTATACCAGGTTGTAACTGACTTTTTCACGAATAACTCTCGGTTGGATGGCCTCTCATCATCGCTTGTGCGCATTCTCTTCAGGTGCGCCCCCTCCTTTCGCAAATGGCCGACCCCCCCCACCACCTCAGGCTGCCGGTCAGCAGTTCGCTCGGCCGCCACCCCCCCAGTTCGCTAACCAGCCACGCCCCCCACCCCCTCAGTACGCCAACGCCCCTCCTCAGGGGGGCCCCCCACCGCCACAATTTATGGGCGGCGCACCCCCCCAGGGGGGCCCGCCTCCAGGCCCGTATGGGAATGCGCCTCCACCGGGGGGGCCGAATTATCCTGGGGGGCCGCCCCCTGGTGGAAATTACGGTCCTCCGGGGGGGCAGTTTGGGCAGGGTCCGCCGCCCCCTCAAGGGTATCAAGGAGGGCCTCCTCCTGGGCAGCAATACCGGGGTCCACCCCCGCCAAGATAGTTTATCATCGGAGAAAGCCGGTACGTAAACTGAGCTTTTGGCTACAGGCTTTTCTTCAATGTAGCTTCGAGGGGCTTTCTTATCGCTGTAATGAGCTGCTGCTTTGATGAAAAGCCAACATGGAGCTCGCAAAGGAACCGTTCAATGGCCTTTGCGCTCGGCATGGCTGCAAAGGCCTCATGAGTGAGTCTGGTCGCACTCTTTCGTATCCAACCCTTCACCTATTGGAGCTGCAACAGCCCATAGACTTCGTAGACTTATGAGCACTGTGAACTTGTCTCTCAAGCGGTTGCAATGATGCAGGTTTGGTGAGACGGCTTTTCGGCTCTGAAGGCTAGCCGTACCGTATGCAATGATGTCAAATGCCAATGCATTCTACCAAAGACTTGTCTGAAGAGCATGCCGCGTTGTAGATGTAACTCAACAATCATTCTACATTGCCGTCGCAAATTTAGGATGGTCCTTCACATAGCTACTCTTACATTCATTGCACTACTTTTCGATGAGCGTCCGACTGTGCTTGTCTATCTTCCCATTGCAACAGCTACGTCAAATGCCACGGCTTACATTATATTGCATAAATCATCGATGATCATCATGGAAGCGCGATGGCGACTCGGATCATTGCCGTTGAGGGTCGCGGCTGGCTCACGCGAGGGGGGAGCCCGGCGGCCGCGGCAAAACTGGTGACCCGCGGCCGCCAAAGGGTTTCACGTGAAACAGGTGGCATTCTGATCTGGAGACATCGTTAGATTTGAAAGATATGGTTAAGAACACCGGGAAACGTACCGCTTGAGAAAACCGGCGTGCGCAGCAGCTATTATCAAAGTACCATGGTTCTCAACGGCGTCAAGAAGCCGGCACTGTTAGGTACAAGGGTTGCAATTCAAACCCGCTCCTAGGCCACGTGCATACGGCAAGCAGCATGCAGCCGTCTGAAATCGTCATCTACGGCTGACAGTAAAAGGCCAAACCGTACAACCTTAGTACCGTTTCTACCTATCTGCACGAGTCCGGGCGCAAGATTGATGTGCCAAGTGCTGCAACTTGCAAGTTTGTCGCCATCATCAAAGTGGAAACATGCCATCATTCTGCTAGCTGTGCCTGTGGCGTTGTGACACCATGCGAAGGCTCTTTGCAAAGCAGCGCCGATCCATCATTTCATGGCTCTGTTGCGAGCTCAGCTCTTTCAGCACAATCTTAATGTACTGACTGTCATCCGAAACAACCCAATGGGGGAGCACTCCTGTTTGAGTTATTTGATTTAAGCTATCGCGAGACATTGAGCTGCGGACACAGGCAGGGATGGCTGCAAAGCCCGCCTCCTGCATGCATACAGCCAGCGCGCAGCGCATTCAGCTGGCAATTTTGTTTCTTGCATCGCTGATCCACACCCTCTTGGTACCCGCCGTCTGTCATGATGTGGGGGTCCTCATGTTCCTGCACGACGCCTTTGGGAGTCCCCCTGTCTTGTCAAACTGGTCTTGGGCCAAGGAGCCCTGTCAGCCGCCGTGGTTTGGGGTGAAGGAGTGCAATCAGACGTCTGGTTGCCACACGATTGGGGATGCATCAGAGGAAGAGCAGAACTGCAGGTGAAGCATAAATGTTTCTTCTCTTGGTAACAACTGAGGATTCAGCTACGCTTTGCATCTGGAATTTCAGCTGGTTTGGCAGCGGTCAATAGGTGGTTTGACAAACAGGTAACTCTTGTGCTTATTGGTGCTGCAACCGTTGAAACAGCTGAAGGCTTTCCATAGACAGCCAGCTGCGGTGGTGACTTTGGTCAGTCTCCTGTTCGTTCAAATGCGTTCGTCGCCTCCCGCTTGCAGAAGCCATGAGCCTCACAAAGTAGGATAAGAGGTGTTCTCAAGTATGTTGATTAATGGTCAGCAGCACTGTGCTGCCTGGAAGCTTCGCTGTGCTTGGTTTCACCACTCAGGAGGAGAGGCTGATCATTGTCAATCTTTCTTCGTTTGTTTCTTATATCACACCTCTGTTCGAAAAATTGCCACAGTATTATGTTGTTCAAAGGTGTCTAGCAAAGATTAGAGCTTTAGGGCACTTTCAACCGAATGTAAGCGCCGGCTGCGAAGGGCCTCTGTCCGTCATGTACCACCAGCTGGCTCATTCCTACCATTTCTTTGACCACCTTTCAGTCGCACAAGGCCATGACATCATCAGGATGACGTCATTTCTTATCTAGAATCTTCTGAGCAGACTGTGACTTCTTTTGCAATCGCTTGAAGGGGGTCTTGGTTGGAGTCGATCAGGGGTAGTCCCTCAAGTATCCACCCGAGATCTCTCAAGTGTTTGCTCGTAGTGGCCATGTTTGTATTCGGCTTACAGGTACCATGACCTTTGAGCTAGTTTTGGAAAGCACAGACACATACGCTGGCCAAAGACTCACGTCTTCAAAGGTGCTTTGTTGGTGTTACTTCCGTAACCAATAGCATTCTTCTGCTTAGCCGCCCTCTTGCGTTACTTACTGGGACTCCACATCATGTCGTCTACTTCTCTTACAGAAGCCAAGAACTTTCGTGTTGCTCGCTCTGTCTCAGCACAGTCTTTAGAGATCCTCTCTTCCTGGCTCTCTCTCTCACATTTTGTTCCGGCGAAGGCTGCACAGCTGTCCCCGCTCCTTTCTCTAAAAGCAGTCTCTTTCTTGTTTGAGGACTCTCCCGTTGTAGCATCATCAGATTGCCAAGGCTCCAGATTCTTTGTTGTACGCTTTTTCACGTGAAAGTGGTGCTGCTCCTCTTTCTTCAATTGTCGGACCACCTCCTGTCAGCTCTTCACTGCCCGACCACAGAAATTTCTGGAACGCCCCTTTTGCGCATCAAAGCCCTTCTGGCCCTCGTTCCTGACTCATTATAAATTCTCGAGTTCCGACTTTGACTTTTCGTTTCGTCGCCCTCGGTCTTCCTTTCTTCCATTCGCGTCACCTTTCGTTTTCTCGCGAAAATGTCCTGAACGTTTTTGAGGAGGTTGTTTCCTTGTGCATCAATAATACTGTTCCTCAAATCTATGAACTTCAGCCCCTCTTTTCCTCATCCTTACTTCTTTGCTAACCTACTTTATACGCTTCAGAGGCATGGTTCACATGAAAGTTGATCGACACCAAGCTCCTCCACTTCGTTTCTTAAGGTCTGAGCTTTATGCATTCTGCAACTCTTTCAGATTCGCCCCTCCCTTTTCTCTTTCTAGGGTCCTTTCGCTCTCTCAGGCTGGTAATTCTCGACTGCATTAATGGCCGATTGCACTGGCGCAAAGTACCAGGAGGACGGGTGGAGTTAGTTGAGGGGTTAGGTTGGGTGCGGTTGCAGAACGTGTTATTTTGGGTTTGAATCTTTCGTTACGGGTGCCCGGGGCTTCGTTTGATGCTATCGGTCGTTTCACACAAGAGTTGCCAGAAAATTTCCCCTCGAAGATCTTGGCTCTTGAGCCTCACTCCGTTTGTCGGGGCCACACCAGCAGAGTCTAACGAACAGCCTACAATCAGCTTCTCTTTCGTATGAGGTCTTCTCACGTTCCCCCCCCCCTGTTTCGTTTGCAGGGTTCTCGCTCTTGACCTACACTCCCTCGGCCTGGGGGGCACCATCTCGTTCGTCCTGGGCGACGCGTGGCGCCTCCAATTCCTCGACTTGAGCGACAACAGCATCGGGGGGCCCCTCCCCGTTGGAACCCAAGGCATCGCCAAAATGGGCGATCTCCAATACTTCAACGTCTCCCATAACCAGCTGAACGGGTCCATACCCTATGACATCGGCTACATGTACAGCCTGCAGACCGCGGACTTATCGTACAATAACTTCAGCGGGGAGCTTCCCGCCAGTCTCGGAGTATTGGCGTCCGGGGGAAACTTGACCTACCTCGACTTGACCGGGAACCAGTTTACCGGGCCGGTGCCCCCACAGCTCGCCACTATACCGACGCTCAAACTTGGCTCGGTGACGCCTACCGGTCAGATTGACCTCGGTGGCAATAGCGGCCTGTGCAGGTAAGTCCCGTATTCTACAGAATATTCACTCCATGGATGATAGAGTCGTTCTGACACGCATATACAGTCTGGCACACCGGGCTGATCGGCTGCAGCACCGGGACTAGCACACCGACAAACGAAAGGGGAATTCTCGCTTCTTTCGCAGCGGATGGTCGGGTTCGAGAATCGGACTGACGACCTTTCGGCACATTCCCTTTTATTGTGTTAGCAGTAAGTACGACGCTCCACCAACTGAGCTACCCCGAGGCGGGAGGTCGGTGTATCAGGCGAAGACAAACTAGAGATTCTAATGAAGGTTAATTCTGGAGCTCCGCACCCAAGCCCACCCTAACCCCACGCTAAACCTACCCATTCCTTGGGCTTGACCTCAATATTCGTTTGGCTTCTTTCTCATAAAACGAGACTTCTGCTCTGCAGCGAAGTCATCCCCGGGCTATCTCCCTGCCCGCCCGGTACAGTGCTCCCCGGGCTCAATACCAGCCAGCCGCCACTGCCGCATCTCTCCCCGGGGGCGCTTTCTCCGCCCGCGCCGAGGGCATCCGTCTGGGGGTCGGCGGTCCTTCCAATCCAGGCGCTGGCTCCTTCCACGGTCAATCTTTCCAGAGCCCGGGGACCAGCCCCGGTGCCAGCTCCGCTTCCGATGCCAGCTGCAATTCCGGTGCCAGCCCCAGCTTCCGGCCCAGTCCCCTCTCCGATCGCTCCCAACGCCCAGGCCCCGGTGCCAATAGCGACCGGTACAAGCTCCCCGGTTGCTCCCGTCTCCAACAACCCGGCTGTGGTGACCCCAAGTACCCCCGGATCAAATTCCACCGCTGTATTGAACACGACCGGCGCTTCAAGTACGCCCGGGAGTGCCGTAGGGGCCCCCACGGGAGCAGCACGCGGTATGAGTGGTTATTCGAGCATCATGGGAGTCCGGGCTTGGTCGTTGCTCGTGTTTGTGTATGTACAATGTTTATAGTACCAGACTGCTTACTTGCTGCAAGATTACAGACTTCGATCATGTGTGATATCTAGGGCAAGAAAGCCGCGCAACTACATTACAGCATCCATAGTAGGTAGCCCTCTGTAGCTAGGGGAAGGAACGTCCAGTAGCTAGTCGATCAAATACGGCGCTGATCATCGGTTAGGCCTTCTCAGAATTTCGCAGTCACGTGTTGTCAACAGTCATCTAGTTCGGCAGGCCTCGCAGCTGGTTGGCCGCTTGAGATTCTAGCAGAACAACTGTTTCAGAAGAAGCTTGCCCCCTTATTACTGGTCGATCCCCATGCAAGATTCGGGAAGAGAGCATACGCATTGGGCCAAGGTAAGTCTGTTTCTCGGACGGTTCGGTTGGTCACGGACTCAACGTAGAATTTCATCAGTACCATCCGGGTGCAATCCTGAATACAGGTCGTTCAATACCGTACCCAACTGAACTTACCCAATTGTTTCCGTTTCGGTCGGCCGCGCATCCGATGTGATCCTGCATAAGTCATGCCTCGCGATCCATTCGAGGCATGATATGCAATCTGCTGCGACCTGGCCGCGCATCCAGTCAAACTCGAATTTGGTGTACGGGATGCGAGCACGGAGGATGCGAGCAATGGAGGTATTGGATACATAATTAAGCAGCTTAAATTGAGTTCTTGGTCATTCTGATGAAGTATAGGTGCAGCAAAGACTAGGAACTATACATGGATCGCCGTCTGTGTGACGGCAAACGCTTGCCTCTTTCCTGATTATGTATGGCTGAGCAATGGCAATGCAATCTAATTCTGCTTTCGATCGTCGAAAGCTCGTATGTACAATGTGGATGTACAATGTTGGCCGTGACACCAGCGACCAAGCAAGCACGAAACTTAGGCGTTTAAGTCCGCGAACATGCACGAAGCTGCTCGACACTAGGACTAGCACCATGCACTGGTCGCACCAAAATTGTTCGTAAGCTGCGAACTGCGCCGCACGCGGGCCCAGTCGGGCCAAATCTCGCACCTCTATGATGCCATTTTTCTAGGCCGTACGTACGCCGAGTTTTATCGTCGAAATGGGCCAAGCGAAGGAGGTCCACTGGCGCGCCCGCATAGCGGCCGCCGCCGTACAGCGACAAAAAATCCGATTTTCTAAGGAAGAGGTCTGCAGACGGCCTCACCGGCAGCCAGACGCATCCGAAGCAAATGTTCTCGCTCGGTCTTGTCATCCTACGATCCAATGAGTTTCGGAACAACTGCCTGAGATACTAGCTCTACTATCATCTGCTACCTTATCTTCCGAGACCACACAGTGACAGACCGTCACCCCATCGGCGTCCAAGCTGGCAGGAATACCATTGGCCCAGCCTTCAACGTCATGCGCAGAGTGTAGGTGCATACATCAAGTCCTGCCAGGAGAGTTGGGCTAGCTGAGCTAGAGTGTCAAAGGTTATATAGGAAGGATAGTTAGATAGTTAGCATCTCAGTACCATTGTTCGAACTCGGTCGGATCGTGTGTTGACACTCTTCGGGCCCATGGCGCAAGCTACGGTCCTTATAATAGAAGTACGAATGAATGAATGAGTGGATGCCCTGAGCCCTTCAGGAAGACTGAGAGGGAAGCCAATATTGGATGACTGGATGAGCCTATAGCGCAGCATCGGTTTGCAGCCGCGAATGATATTATACTTGAGACTCGGAGCTATAGCTGCTGGAGTCGAGCAACTCGAAGGGCCTACGGAGCTACGGCATATTTAACAGAGACCCTTACCCAAAAAGTTGCGCGGGCGCGCAGCTTCCAACATGGTGCGGCCGTGCAGTATTTCGATGTCCAAATCATTGCTCGCATGCACTTAGCACAGCGCGCGGCCGCCAGCCCACCGGATGGATCGTGTCTGGGTCAGGCAGATATAAGCGAACATATACATCATTCATCTCATGCATCATTTGGTAGTGGATCGCAACCTCAGATGACCAGCATGACGAGATGCATGAGTACGTGACCATGATTGGGCGGTTGCATATATGCGAGTTCAAGTGCATGGGCAGCAACGATGACTTAGGTCTCGTGCCGTCGTACCGAAATGGTAACTTAAGCGCTCATCTTCGGTCCTCCGGACCATGATGAGAAAGCTCACGCTTCAATTTATCAAGCACGTGGTATTGACATTAGTACAGACCCGGTATACAAAATCTTGCTAGAGAAGCAGTGTCCAAAGCTGTACGCGGACGTCGGAGGTGCGCCTAGCAATTCTCCGGCCGGCGCGGAGCCTTGTTGTTAACAAACAATATGCACTTGCAATGCACACACGTGTTGCTGCAGCTATATATTACGATATTCGACGAAATAGCGCTGTAACCAAAGTTGGATAAATAGAGTATTGCTTGTGCACGTGGAACCCCGACCCGTGCACGGCGCCCTGAATAGAAACGACAAGTTCGAAGCAAGCTTGTCAATAGCACCTGTGAAGGCTCGCAACCGGGTTCAATAGAACATACCACAATTTATGCTCTGGTGTCATCGATCTACAGCAGCGGTCCGTCGTTAGCCACACTTTCTGATTCGCATTGGCCTTGCCACCTCAACAAGATTGCGTAAATCGAAGGGACCACGTATCCTACTCCATTCCCTTGATCAAAGTAAGAGATATCCGATCCAAACCTCGATTTTGTTACCACGCTGAGCCGCCTACATGTTGAGCACGAATTTATGGTCTACTCAAGTTTACGAGTGTCAATGAACTAGGCGCTTCAATCAAACACCACGACAACATACGAAAGCAACGTTCTAACTTTGACTACCTTTTCTTAGCCCTCTCCCTCGGTAACTTTTGTTCGAACATCGGCTCTTTCACTTTGCTCGCCAGTTTCTGAATTAATACAATCCGGTGATTGCCTCTCTCACTTTTCTCGCAACCTCCTAAAGTAGTATAAGGTGTTTTCGAGAAAGACTAAGCTGCCAATGCATAGGCTAACCAACACTCCAACACCGCGAAGTAGCAAGTCACGGCCAGAAGTGTGTTCGCAACCCTGCTTGTCGAAGCTGGTTCACTAACGAGAGCGCGTCCTCCAGCTTTTTCGGATAAAATTGGTCCCATCCGCAGGCTCTCATGATAGGATCTCCGTAATGTGTCTCCACAAACAGCTCGTCTATCAACCGAAGCACCGCCGGGGCTTCCAAAAGCGCGGGCAACACTTCCCACTGCAAGGGGAGCGGACACACGATCTCAGAAACGAACCAATTGGCTGTCAGGAGACAAGCAACGGCTCCAGCCAAAATCAGACTCAGCGGTCTTTCGATTCTCCTTCCATATGCAAAACAACAAGTCAGTCAGTCGAAACCAATCACGACAACTTCACAGTGAAAAATGGGTCGACTGCTTTAAGGGAACGCCCGGTTATTGCGCCGAGAAAACGCCAAGCGAATAGCCTACCTCGCCTCCTTCGATGTCCATCTTGACAATCAGCGTGTCCTCCTCCCGCATCTGCAGCTTCCGGTTGATAATACTTCGAAATCGATATTCAAAACCCCGTCAAAAATACGTCGGTCTGGTAACTTACTTCGCCTCCTTCGATGTCCATCTTGACAATCAGCGTGTCCTCCTCCCGTATCCGCAGCTCCCCGGTAATGAATCTCAGGATGTCGACGCCCGGGACTCCCAGGCTCGTGTTGGCCTCGTCGCTCACGCCGACCATCATCTCGTACTGCGTCACGACCGGCGGGTGCGGGAGCGCCCCGATGACGTCATACGGCGGCTCGAAGAGGTCAGGCACGACCTCAAAGGCGTGGATCTGTGGAGAGGACGTACTCTGTTGCAGATCCAGTGTGAATACTTTGGGTTTTACTTCTGGGGCTCGCTTGCGGGCTCTTACAGCCATTGTGAAGGCCTCTTGCAGATCTCCTGGGTTGCTCAATTCAGGCGTTGAATTGTATGCTAAGAGCCGGGTTTGTCAGAGTATCGAGCAATGACAGAAGCGCGTTCCACTGCGTTTCAGGTCCATAACCGTCAAACACTGGTCTGAAAAGCACTTTTGACACATGTGTTGCAAGCATCTGTTGGAGAGCAGGATTGAATTAGTGCTACGCCGAATATTATGGCAGCGAACGGACAGGTTTGGCTTCTCTCCGGCGACATCTTCAGGCCTCTCTTCGCACGTTCGTCGGCAAGATAACAGCCCGACTTGCAACTTGACGGTTCTGTCAGACAGAAAACTGCGGATGCAGTGATGGAAAGCACGACTTTGCGGGAAGAGTGTACCTTTGCGAAGCAGCGATACCAGCAAGTCGAACAAGGCCGCAAAGGTGCCCCATCCTGAGCCCGCTACGTCTCACATGTCCAGAATTCGTCTTGAGAGGGTTGGGAGGAATCAGGCCTCTGGCTCTGCGGCTCACATTGAACCCTCTGATTTTTACTTTGCAAAGCCCCATGTGTACAGAGCATGGTTCGAGCAGAGACAAAAGCACCAGACGGGACAGTCTGTCGCACGTGGATAACCGCTGCGGTGAGATGACATGACCAGTCTAGCAGAGTCTCCGTTCCGTCTGTTTTTCAACGGAAATCCGTTTGTCTTCGCATGGGCCTTTCAGGGGCCGAGCATCTGCTGACGTGGCTCTCACCTCTACACGGCAGTTGTGACCTCACACAGGAGTTTCTCGTCGATACCCAAAAAATGGACACCGCGCTTTATGCAGTCCGCACGGCAACACCCGTAGCTTAGTTTAGCCGCAACTACAAGCCCACTTTTTACTCCAAGCATCTTCTGCTGACGTGGCGCTCACCTCATCAAAGTCCACCGGGTAGTTCCGCATGAACCATCCGGTGCTCGAATTAAACGCGGCGGCCCCCAAGTCCAAAAAGACGCGCCTGGGGGAAAGCACCGGTCAGTCTGACGGCTTTTCTGTACGCACAAGAGCTTAACGACGAGTTCCAGACTTGAGACTTTGACGAGGAGACAGGTTTGGGTATACATGCTTGTAGGACTATACCAAGTCTCTACTTACATAGTTGGCAAAGCATATGCACCCCCGTCGTGGTGGATCACTTCTAATCTAGCGTGCGCATATGTTCCGGGATAGGTACTTTGAAGAACCCTCGGTCCTCCAGTCAGCCGAGCAGAATACAACACAGAAGCCTATTTCCAACGGTTTGAGTTAAGTAGAAAGGCTGAGGAGTCAATCACGCGAGGGCGGCAGGTTGATCTCAAGTATTTGAGACTGTGACAAAGTTCCAAGTATTTCATGACTCTGACAGGGTTGCACGGAGACCAACCAAGTGACCCGCTGGCGCAATCGAGTCTCAGGACTTTCGGACACTTCTGCTCTCCTTAAAAGGCCGTCGCTCGACGACCCTCCTGCAAGATCGTTCGGGCTGTGGCCATCTCTATGATCGAGTCTATCGTAATGGATGCGACCATAAAAGCAGACCCTTCTCTTGAGTCCGGGGTTCGGATCAACCTTTATAGCTTGAAGTTGCCAATCGGATACTTAAATCCCTGCCACAGAGGACTGTGAGGGCTGACTTCCTCACCTGCTAGCAGAATTGAGGTCGACTTGGTTGCCGAGCAGCCAGGGTATAAGATAGCTTGGATCTTCACAGTCTGCACAGGATAGATGATTACCAGGTCAGTATCCAGAAAGGCATCCGGGAACAGCCGCTCGTAGAAGGACCGAGGAACAGCTGCCACCTGGCAGGGGCAGCCGGGGGATCCCCCCGCATTCTGGTCGCTTGCTGACGGTGTAAATGTGCCCGATGAGAGTGGCCCAGTCATTGTCTGGCAGGTCGAAAAGAAGGCTACCACCATCTGTGGGTCAAAATGACTGTCAAATGCCTGGACTAGGTTCTACAACCACGTTAGATTAGTATGCACAGACTAGCATCTGGGACGTGCATTTGGAGCGTAAAGCTAGCCTAATCACAGCCAATGGGGCACTCTTTTCGAGATGGTCCAGGCAACTTTTGAATAACAGAAGTTTCTTCCGTCCACAAATTGCACGAACCTGGCTTCCCCACCGTGCTGTAGCAGCCGACGCACAGGAGGTTCTAGGTCTTATAGATTCCGTGGTCGGATTGAGTATGATAATCTAATAATTGAAGTCATAAAAGAGCCCCGTAAGTGAAAAGCAACGTTCTGAGGATGCGTTTCAACCAGGAAGCAACCGGAGGAGGTCAAAACCGGGTTGCGACGGGGCTTGAGGCCTCTCAGCTCTCATCCGAAGTGCGCTCGTCAGCCTCCCCAGAGATGCTGTTTCCTAAGGTGCAGTGGACTCACATCTATCAAGGGTAGGTAACACTTTTCGCGCTCAACATGGCAGGTGCATTCCCATGAGGTAGTTTTGTATCTTCTCGTCAAGTAGTTCTGTATCTTCTTGTAAGATGGTTCTGCATTTTCTCATAGGCAATTCCGATCTTTTTAAAATCTACCGTAACGTTCGAAGGGACTGTATGGCTGTCAAATAAGTCTGTCGGTCGGCCAACCAATTCAAAGCCAAAACTCGTTTCCTGCGGCCTACTAAAGAGAGATAAAAATAAAGCACCCTCACAAGATAAAAGACTGAGGGCTCACCATCTGTTTGCCCGTGTGCGTATCCTGGCCGAAACTGAAGCCTGTAACGTGACAAGGCCTGGCGTTAAAGTGCAGTTTGGGGTGATAATAGAAGGTTATAAACAAGTTATATCAACACAAGCAGCTCGTCTAGGAGCATGTTAGAAGGTGCGGAACAAAATCCTGATATTTGCAAGTAAATCGCAATGAAAACGTCTCTTGTCTAAAGAAACTATATTGGCGCTGAGGACCCTGTATTCAGAAAGCATGAAAATGTACGTTTGCAATGCCTCCAGTTGCAGTCGTAAAGGTTTTGCACTCTGGCTGAAAGCTCACAATCCTAGCATTGGAAAACAACCAAAACGTGAGCTTTTCAGGCTCAAACAACAACTCCTGGTGTGTTAAATTCTTTTGTTGTTATGTTCTAGTTACCGGAATGGTGACCTTGAGCCACACTTGCTTTTCAGAGGGGCAGTCAAGTTCCCCAAGCATGCCAATCGATTGCCAACGATCGCAGCGGACACTCTTTTCTTCTTCCATGCGAAAAAAACTACTACCAGGAACAAACATTGGGTGAGGAACGACAAATATGAATGCTGAAGAATTCGGGGATATTTCCTCTGGTATACAATCAGAAAAGCAAGCGCTTTACAGGGAGTGCTGTGGGTTTGCTTTGCTCGTTAACTTTTTGTCACGATCATCGAGTAACATTCTTGTGTTAGTACCAATCATTGGCATTCGTTGGTTTCTGCACACCACTAGATATCGAATGAAGCGCCACCGACCAGTGGTCAACCATACGTACAAGAGGCATTCTTAAGACATCTGTGTTGCGAATCTGCATGAGTAAGGGCAGAACTCACCACCCTTGAACGCAATTTCAAACTTCAGTCTGGCCCTGTGCCAAAGCATAAAACAATCAAGGAGGAATGGAGTGGAACCAAAAGAAAGACGTAAGGAGTGGAAGATGCGAAATGCAAACAAGGAGACACATCAGAAATACACGTTGCGATCAATAGAGAAACTCACTCGGGATGGAGCACCCCCACGAGCAGCCCCTGTATCCGCTCCCCCGCCGGCATCGCAATCCGCTTTGCATACTCCCCATAAGCGCTGATCTTTTGCCCGTCCCGCCGTATGCAATCACGAACTTCCCCGCACTTCTCTCGGCAGGGGGGGCACGGCTGGGGCGTGCACTCCCCCCCGTTTTGGAGCCGCAGGCCCAGCATCTCCGCAGACTTGCTGGAGGGCAACGGAGAGCTGGTGTTCTTCATCCACGCTCCCGAGGACTGTGAAACACGCCCCAAAAGGATGCCAAGAACTAGACTGAGGAAGGAAAAGAAGATCACCCTGGTGTTTGGGGAAGCCAGGCTGAACCGGGCCATTGCGGCCGGTCTCTGAGTAGGTGTTTCGTTGCCCCGGCTCATTGCTCAGGTAGCTGCATGGCAAAGCATGAAACTTGAAAGAATGAAAAGTATGGATTCGCTGACGCAGGAAGCATTCAGAAAAAGAGCATCAAAGCCTGTTAGGCCGCCGCAGGGCGCAAGAAGGCCCGCTTCCATGCAGCTAGCAAACCCTTCCTTTGGTACCTGGCGCTACCCCCCTCGGTTTGTCTGATATTCGCGTAGTCTAGGCGAGACAAAACCTATGGTAGAGAGGTACCATAGGTCCTAGGGACGAAGTGCCTGACTACAGCGATCACACATGAAAGCGGACTTCTCCGGCCGGTGACAAATTTCGACGGCTGTTTGGCCGGCTACA